CATGGAGTCACTAGTGTTTGACTAGATTTATAGTACCAAGCATGATCCTTCTTGTGAAGCAGGCCTCTGATCGAAACAGAAAGTGTTTGGTTAACCCCATTATCAATCATGCCACTATTGCATCAGGGCATATCTTACCTGCAGATTGGTATTGTAACTCACAGGGGTTTGAATCTGAGTAAGACTCTCTACTTCATTTCTCCTCTAGTAATCTACATAGCACCTTCTGGCACTATGAACACTAGCCAAGGAAGTTTTTTAGGTCAGTTCCAGTTTGATTTCTCTGTGTCAAAATCAAAATTATAATACCTTCAGCAATATGGCCTTCCCATCTATTTCTGGTTGGCAACCAAGAGAAATGGCAAGAGCTTGTATTGTATTGGGAGGCCTCCCCTAGGAAGTCTACTAAGTCAGTCCCATCATCTCGCTGAGGTAAGTCCAAGCCTCCCCACACCCTACACCTGTGTCTAGGCTCAGCAAGGTATCTATCCATATAAAATGGGCTCCACTAAGTCAGTTTGTGCATTAGAGTTAGATCTTGGACCCACTGCCAGTGGTCTCAATAATTGTCCCAGCCACACCATTGTCACCTATAATAAGGGAGTCTAGTTTGGTCTTATGAAGGTTCCCCATTTGTCAGACCTGAGTCAATGATTTCTCACTATCTTGGGCTAGCTGATTCTGTGGGTTTCCCATGATGGTCTTGACTCCTTTGTGCATATTATCAATCCTACCTCACTTAGATTGTACTCCAGGAGCTTGGCCCATTGGTTAGTTGTAGATTTCTGCATCTGCATCTATCTGTTTCTGGAAGAGGGTTCTAGATTCTCTGGGGTTGTGGATTATAGGGCTGGGTATCTTTTGCTTTATGTCTGGTATCCATTTATGAGTGAATACATACCCAGTCTTTCTGGGACTGGGTTACCTCATTTAGAATATTGGGTTATTTTGTTTTTGTTTTGTTTTCTAGTTCTGTCCATTTGCTGCAAATTTCAGGTTTTTTCCAAGTTCTGGCTATAATTTTTCTGATGTCAAAGGCCATTCTTCCACCCAGACAGTTTCTCAGTCAACCCTTTTAAAGGCAGGGCTGTCGGTACTTTTGAAAGATCAGCAACTGTTTTGCCCTACTTATATACAACATGATTGGTCAGTGACTGTTCTTTATAATACCTTTTAATATTTTTCTCAGAAATATATGCTAGTTTATGGTTTGTTTCTGAGATTGGAGGAATGTTAATCTGGGTATTCCACTACGGTAACAAATTATGTCCCCATAAATTCATTGTTGTGTTATCCACATACATCTTTAATTTTCTTCTGTCCTTCTGACTCTATATATTTGACTCATCTCACACTTTGTTTTACCTGGAATAAAGTTCTAGTCCCTAAAAGCTGAACATTAACCTCCTGAAGAGGCCAATTTGGATGCCAAGATTCTGGCACAATTATTATTATAACTGCCCCTGTGTCTACAAAACCCTTAATTACAATGCCATTTATTCATATTTTTAACCTTGGTCTTTGACCATTTATAAAAGCTTGCCAAAATATTTGCTTTATGGTTTCTCCTTAAATTTTTGTTTTATCTTCTAATGCTGTTCTATCATTCAGAAGAACATGGATTTTTACAATAGGCATTAGGTTCTTTAATTGCTCTGGGGAGGAGTTTCCCCATGGTGACTGGGAATTATTGAACCCAGTTTGCCATGGGGGCCTATGAGCATTGCCGACAAGGAATTTCCTGATGTCTGTCCCTTGTTGATCTGCATTTATTGATTCAATGTCAAACTTAGCCACACCATCTGCATACTCCAGAAGGCAAGAGCCTTCTGTTTGGGTTAACTCTAGAAAAAACAAAAGCAAAAACAAAAAAAACAAAAACAAACAAAAAACCCCAAAACAAAACAAAACAAAAAAACATTGTTTCTAGGAATGGCCTGCCTATAATCACTTTTTAGATGACTTTATTTACCACAATTAAAACAGCTGGCACTTTGATTTTCCTTCAAGTCTCGGGAAATCACCTCTCCTATCCAAACATCATCATGGTTATGAAATTCAATACTGACTGTATCTTGGATCCATTCCTCTATGGGTGCTGATCTTGCCTTTAAAGGACTAATTACCCATTTACAAGTGAATTCAAATTTTCAAAAACCAAAGATTCAATTAGTATTTGTCTAGCTTCAGTATTTGATATCATTTTATTTACAGCTGATGTCAATCTTTGTAAAACAAAATAAACAAACAAAACAAAAACAAAGCAAAAAACATAATAGTTTTCTTTTGGGCCCTGTATAACTTTAGTAAATGACTCCATTCTCTTTCCAACTTCTCCAGTTCTGACCCAAGCATTCAAAGCTGCTGTATGGCATAGAGCCAAGGTGTGTTAATCATATACAGACTGTGTTTGTATATCAGTATAATTGCCCTCTCAAACAAGTTGGTCTTGGGAAATTTCAATATCTCTAGTCCTACTTTATTGTTCAATGGTCCTAGCCTCATCTTTGACCAGATTTTCCACTGTAATTGAGGATCAGGTTCCGATAACTCTGTAAGCAAGTCTTCCCAGTTTTATGGGATAATTCTGTTACTAGTTGCCCATGGATTTAACATCTGCCTCACAAAAGGCAAATGCATACCATATGAAATTATCACTTCTTAAGTCTCCTCAAATCTAACATTTCCACAGGAATCCAGTGAGCTCTTATATAGCGTGAGGAGAACTGTCATTTGGCAGTTGTTTGTATCTTGTGAATGGGTAAATTAAGCTTGATGTTTTGATAACCTTGGGCTGCTGCTCTCTATTTTTTTGAGATACACTCATTTATTTATTATGCATACAGTGTTCTGCCTACATGTTTAATTGCACACCAGAAGAGGGCAACAGATCTCAGCATAGGTAGTTGTGAGCTAGTTGCTGGGCAATGAACTCAGGACCTCTGGAAGAGCAGCCTGTGCTCTTAACCTCTGAGCCATCTTTCCAGCCCTCTCTCTAATTTCATAATGTAATGGTTCTCCTTTAAAGTCCTTTGTCTCTGTGTGAATATCTCTATTATCTATTTTAATGTTTTTCTAAGGCTGTGACTTTTCAGACAAAACTGCACTATTTCCTTCAGTAATTATATGTAGGGCTTGTATATTATCAGTAGTAACCTTTTCTAAGGCCTGTATCTTAGGAATAGCACATTTTTCTAAGGTTTGTATCTTATCAATTTCTCATATTTGACACAGTTATCAAACCATTCTTAAGGATAAAATATGAATCACCAGACTGATAACCATTATGACTGGCATATCAATAACGGCTAAGTTGTTTATCTCCTCATTTAAAATATTCCACTTTCAAACCATCCATTGTAGAATAATACAGAAACCTGACTTCCTCCATCAGAATAGCTTCCTATTTTTTACATGAAAAAAATAAATAAATAAAACCCTGTTTTTAAAACTAATTTCCCCCTTTAAGGATTCCCAGTTGTCTCACAAAATCTGATGATGATGATGATGATAGTGAAATGTGAGGCTGGCTGTCACTACATAGGACAGTTAGGCAGAGAACACAGATGGTGCACAGCTTGGCCTAGGGCAGCTGCAGCTGCTCATGTGTGAGCTAAGTGTATGTGGCGGTTGCAACAACAGAAGCCTGAGTGAGTGTCAAGACAGCTACCTACTGCAGCAGTAGCCCGAGGAGAGGGTCCAGGGGAACCATGCAGTCCATGGGGAGAAGGAGTCAGCTGTCTGTAAAGCAGACACAGGGGATCCTGCAGAAGAAGCCTGTGTGGCAGGAGGGCCTGAAGGCAGGGCCAGTCAGTCCTGGACAGGTAAGTCAAGCTGCATTTGAAGCCCAGACTCCTGTGGAGTTTGGGTGGCAGCCAGAGGCTATTGCAAAGAGGCTGCAACAGGAGAATCCCAAACTCACTCACTCAGAGGGCTTGGAGAAGGAAGGGAAAAGACAGGGGGTAGCATGGTGGCTCCAGCAGGCCCAGCTCTGGTGGTTGCCGACAACTGCAAAGCTGGGGCAAGCAGCTATCTGGTGAATTTGTGCCAAGTGGAATGCCAGGTGAAGCCTTAACTAATTATTCTTTATCAATAAGAAATCAGGAGCCGGATATTAGGGTAGAGAAGCAGGGGAGCAGCCACCAGTGACTTCCTACCCCTTCATTCCTTTCTCCAAAATGGCTGAGATCCTCTCTCAGCCCTGCCTTACTACTTCCTGTCTCCTATCTGTCTACAGTCCTCCAAATCTCTATGATTAATTTTGATCAGCTAGTGGCTAGCTCTGCCCTCTTACTCCAAGCAAGCTTTACTTGTCAGACCACAATCAAAATATCACACAATTTATGCATATTTAAATGGTTAATTATAATGAAACACACCTACAATTTCATAGTTACTGTGTGTGTGTGTGTGTGTGTGTATGCCTGTGACACATGTATGCATGTCCAGAACACCCAGGATCTACTCTTCTACTCTCTCGAGAAACATTTACAAATTTCAGTATTAATAACCCATCTTCATGTTATAACTTAGATATTTAGATTAATTTACTGTTTATTTACAACTTTTTAAAAGAATAAACAAAATCCAAATCTTAAGAATTTCTTTTTTCCTGAAATTATCGAGAATGTAGTGTTGCCTTGGAAAGATACAGATCCAGTATTGAGATCATTGGATGTATTTCATCAAAAACAAAATTTGAAGTTGTTTGATTAAACAAATCAATTGAAATGGGTAGCCAGCCAGCTGCTCACAGACCCTTAATCACTCAAGGTCACAGATACAGTAACGATGGTGTCTAGAATCCCCATCTGCTGATTACCCTTGGTAGGCCCTACCATTTTCTAGAGGTTAAGTGCAGTTTAGGTTTCACCAAAGTGGTTGGAGATTCTTGTCCCTCCAACTTCTCATTGGCTTTCACATCCACACCTAAGATGATGCAATACCAGGAAGTGTACCTCCTGGAACTGTTGCCAGGTGACCATGACATCATAGACTAGCCCAGCAGTGTGGTCTCAAGATGTATCAAGCGTCGCTAAAAGATTTAACTGATAAAGAATTGGAGAAAAAGTTCTGCACAATTGAAATTCAAGCAGCATTTATTCTCTCCTCCTTTGTGACTTTCTTCGGGGGACTCATCATTTTATTCGCTTTCAGATTAATCTTGAGAGTCTCAAAAAGATGTCGAAGCATCAAGTATACAGGAATAATCTTGGTCAGTTTCCTTCCTTGGGTCATTTGTATGTGAAGATTGGAACTAAGTTTGGCACATGTCTGTGTTTAGCAAGCAGTTCAGGCCTTCCTTGATTTTCAGGCTAATGAGCCTGATGCTTCATAAAGGGCAGGAAATAAGGCCCAAGACCATCAGTGTACAGTTTGGTGAGCATGGATGATGATGAGTGTACTAAAGTCCCTGTTCCAAAAAAACTTTCATAAACATTGACAGTTACAGCCAAATGTGGTACTCAATGGACTGATCCCATCACTTGAGGCAGGAAGATTGTTGTGAGTTTAGGGTCAGCCTAGGCTACATGAGACCCTGTTTCAGAGAGAGTTTTGCTAGCCACCATAAGGGAGCAACAAAGGCACAAGACATCAACTCAGCCTTACTTTCAAATATCCTTTGTGCATGATTTGTATGCACATACTTATGTGTTTTTGTTTTTATGTGTAATGTACACCAGCCCCAAACACCTGGCTTTTTTTTTTTTTTTTTTTTTTTTTTTTTGTAGCCTAACTCGATTTGCAAAGTTTGATGTGATTAGGTGGCAAAAATGATGACAATAGGAATAAATAATGATGACATATTAATAGTTTGAAATACCTCTCTTCAATTCCACATGACTGTTGTATATTTTTGTTGTTGTTGTTGTTTGTTTTGAGACAGAGTCTCCCAATGTAGCCCTGGATGGCCTGGAACTTGCTATGTAGACCAAGCTGGCTTCTAACTCATCTGCATTTGCCTCCTGTATCCTGGGATTAAAGGCATGTGCTACAACAATCAGCTCAATAGAAGAATTTTATCAAGCCCTTTGTAGTTTGTTTTCATTTTCATTTCTTTCTTTCTCTCCCACCCCTCCCAGACACCCCCAGATAGGGTTTCTCTGTGTAGATTTGGAACCTACCCTGAAACTCACTCTGTAGATCAGGCTGGCCTCAAGCTCAGAGATCCACCTGCCTCTGCTTCCCAAGTGCTGGGATTAAAGGTGTGCACCACCAAAGCCTGATTCATTTTCATTTCTTCAACTCTGTTTCTTCCTAAAATAGATTATAGTAGTTTTTTGTAATAAATAATTTTAACTTGTGTATCATAATATGCAAATTTTGCTTAAATATATCTCTTAATGTTATGGTGGCATAAAATAAGTTTGAAATAAGAGTAAAAATTTAAGGTTATTCATAATATGGATTATATACATATATATAAATACACACACACACACACACACACACACACACACATATATATATATATAGTTTTTTTTGAGACAGGGTTTTTCTTGTGTGGCTTTGGAGTGGATTTTATATTTCTGTATTTGAGAATGTCTAATATTGAAACTCATAGATTTTAATGATAAGCCAGTTTACTCTGCAATTGTTTCTACTTTAAAGTCTTTAAACAGAGCTGAAGGGATGGTTCAGGGGTTAAAAGAACTGGTTGCTCTTCCAAAGGACCGGGGTTCAATTCCCAGCACCCACATGGAAACTCACAACTGTCTATATTTCCAGTTCCAAGGGATCTGATACCCTCTTCTGGCTTCCCTGGACACAGGCACACATGTTGCACAGATCTTACATTCAGGAAAAACACCCATATACTTTAATAAAAATAAACAAAACTTTTGAAGACAAGACTTTAAACAATGTTATAAATTTATTGGGGAAAGAATTCTGATATTCTTTGGATCTCTGGATTAATGGCATGGTAGACATGGTGTGTGTGTGTGTGTTTGTGTGTGTGTGTGTGTGTGTGTGTGTGTGTGTGTGTGTGTGTGTAGAGTCTGTAGCATTTAGAAATGTCTTTAGTTGACTGCTCCAGGCAATGTCTCGTCTTCCTAGTGTTCATTGCCTGGTTTGGGTGGCGTAGAATGATTTCTGACCAATACCAATGACAAGCGTGTCCTCCACCTAAAGCGGAGTTCTCTCTCCTGAGCTGCAGCTCACTGGCCATTCCTTCTTCTTGCTCGCAGGAACTGTTCACATCAGGGAGAATTGACCTTAACCCTTTAAGAAGAGTTTACTTTTATAGATTATTTCGTAATCGTGTAGAAATGCTGCTTTCTGCACAGACCATCGTGGGGCAAATGTTGGTGAGTTCACTTCTACTATTCTCATGCCAATGAACTGTAGCCATAAATATGACTGTAATCCCCTCTGTACTCTTATTACACAGGTAGGTGTCTTCTCTTCCATGGTGCACTTGGCTATGCTAAAGCACTGTGTCTCCCTAGTACATGAGCTGGTATTTTGAAGTCCCTTCCATATGGTGGGATGTTGGGGAGAGGGGGGCTTGGTCCTGCCTCAACTGAATGTGCCAGGCTTTGTTGACTCCCCATGGGAGGCCTTACTCTTTCTGAGAAGTGGATGGGGTGTGTTGGGGGAAGGTGGGGGGAAGAAGGAGGAAAGGTAGGGGGAACTGTGTTTGGAATGTAAAATGAATTTTAAAAAAAACAGTCATAAATCAAAGCTTTTCCCAAATACACTGGTGGGGACACCAGGTAGGAAGGTTATAGCAAAAGAGGTTAAATCTTTGCTTTAGGTTGGTTTCAGGTCATATCTGAGCTTTTAGTTGGTGAAAGCAAGTTATCTGCTAATACTGGACTCAGATGTTAGGTCAGCTGCAGAAACTGGTGCCTAAGACCATTTTCACTCTGGATTCCATGCCTCTGTAATCACAAGGCTCTAATCAATCGGCCTTATACAGTATTCGACCTCACTGTGCACCACCCCCCAACCTCACCTCACAAGAGTAAACACTAAATACTCTATATGCTGAGGTGCTCCTGGGCAGGGGTGTCATGATCAAACACCAATCAGGTTAGGAGCACTCTTGTGGGGCTTCTGTGGCCTTAACAGCTGCACAGAGAGATCACAGAGGCAAGAAGGCAGTTCCTCTCAACATAGCTCAGGAGCCAGTGTTGGTTAAAACTTCAAGAGTTTGGCACCAAGTGGTTAAGTTTAGGCATATTTGAGCACTGAAAAATATTCTGGTAATGATTAATTCAGTCCCATGTGCACAACAAAAAAATGACATAAATTGCCTTGAGGAATAAAGTAAGCTAAATACAGATGAGATGTGATCACATCAAAACTGTAAAGTTCATAAGGATAGGCTCTATAGAATTCCTTGAGAAAATTTATAGTAAGGGTCTGAGGGAGGAGCTGGTGCTGGAAAAGTCTTTGGCCACACAGATAGAGCAAAGGTCACCAGGCTAGAGGGTGCATCCACTTCCAGCTTTCCTTAACATTCCAGGTTCTCTTTGTGAGCACAAAGACCTCCATGTCTCCTACCCAACAGCCAGAGTGAGCCTTGCCAGTAAAAATATCTATCAACACAAACACAAATGGTTAAGAGAAAAGAACCTAAGAGGCCTACCCAAGCAATATTTGAGTTGAAAGGGAGTGAAAATTTCTTTATAAATAAAATTCTGAATTTGATCATTGAACTAAACTACATTGAACTAAACACATTGAAAATCTGTTTGTTTTTCAAGACAGGATCTCACTAATTACCCCTGGCTGGCCTCTTTGTAGACCAGGCCTTAAACTCAGAGAGATCTGCCTCCTTCTACCTTCTAAATGCTAGGATTAAAGGTGTGAACCACCAAGTCAGGCAAAAACCTGGTGGTTTGGAAATTAGAAATGATTAGAGAGCTTAATTATCTAAAGCTGGCCTGGGAAGAATCACAGAGGCTGCCGAAGACCTCACCCAGCTCCACTGGGGCACTGAGCAAGCGGCAGCTTCCTGGCTGTTGTGTCCCATGGGACGGGTGTGCTTCACGTACCAGACAAACCTGCACAGTAGAAGTGCTCACTTCCTTCTCATGGTAGGGAAATGTCCCTAAGGACACATCACTGGCAGTTCAAGTTCAAGATTGTTATTTACTAGCTCTCATTTCTATCATGAAATGAAGCACGTGACACATACTAAGCATAATACAAGGATTTGCTAAACTCTAGGAGGAGCAGGAAGTGTCCTCTGATTATTCTGAAGCATGTGAGAGCTAAAGTTAAGTAAAATGGGCACATGTTGGCTTAGTGTAAAGCTTCATCCACTTCTATAATGGATGATGAATGAATGCATGCATGCATGAATACTGGCATAAATGAATGTTGAATGTAGGGAAAACCCATTTCCTCCTCCACTTCCCTGCACACAGTAATAAAGATATACAATAATAATTACTTCATTTAAAACAGAAAACACAATTTTGTGGGCTTATTTATTCCATGTCAATAAAATAGCATCGTGTCCCTGCCCTTTCCTGTTTTTAGGTGATCCTTGTCTTTGTACTAAGCATCGGCTCTCTTGTAATCTATTTCATCAATTCAACGGAGTGAGTAACAACCCTAGTCATTCTTGTCTGCTTTAGTAGTAACATTAGACTTTCTCTTCAAGGATGTCAAATAGAGTTTTGCTTGCATGTGTGTACACACCCACACCGGGCCATTCAAACTGGTAACCATGTAACTGTCTCCTCCCCCTCACCCCAGTGAACACTAACTCCATTTTTCTGTGATAAGTGCATGCAATTTGCCCTGTATTTTGCCTCCTCCATTGCTCGTGTTAGGGTGGGGTGTACAGCTGTGCTGCTGGGACTCTAAACTTCTAGCTGTCACTTCCTAACACTGGGCCACTTAGGAAGGTTCTTGAATTTCTCAAGAGTTGAAAGAGAAGTTCTGGGGTATTTCAGCGCCTCTCTTATGCTTCAGAGACCTTTGTGTGGTCTTAGTCTTCAATCGATTCTTTGAAGTCATGCTCCTCTTAAAGATCTCAAGGCTAGAAAAATATTTTTCAAAAACTAAACCCACTCTAATTCACACTCCATGCCAAGCCTCCGAGAATTATATTAAATACCCAGCTGGGATAAAAATTAAGAATTTCAGGCCACAAAAGCCAAACTACTTCAGAAAACCACAGGCAAATGGTAGTCTTTGCTTTGTAAATTCCTGACACATCTTTTAGGATACATCTTTGAACTTGTTTCAGATCCATTCGTTTAATCTCAAAGGGATAGCAAAGCTGCAAAACCCTGACTAGATAGATGGTTTTTCAACCACAAAGGACAGTAAAATTTCTGAGGCTTTGGATACCCACTTACAAATCTGAAGTGGAACCAATAGGCTCTGTAATGGCATGGTGGGCCTTTCTCCTCCTGCTCTCAGCTCTGTGTATGAACTAGTGGCTTCACTTATTCATAGTTCCACTCCCCAAAGGAAGAGAATTCCATTCAGGTGTGAACACGAGTCTTGAACAGCTCATACTGGACATGTACATTGCCTACCCCACCATAATCTCTCCTCTGTAGACATAGGTTTTAAAATGTTCATCTTTGCGAAATGTTACCATTTCTTTCCAGTCCCATCGGAAGGTGTACTTCCTATGAAGACAAAACCATCCCTGTTGATCTGGGTTTCAATGCTTTCTTTAGCTTCTATTTTGGGTTGAGGGTAAGTACCTAGATAAAATGACAATAACCATGCCCCTCATACACTCAGAAGCAATGTTAAGAGACCAGTTTGTTCCTTGGGTTATTCAATCTCTCTCCCTCAGGTCTCAGGCTCCAAAGGTAGATCTGTGCCCTAAATTGTTAAATAGTTAATGAAACCTAAAACCTGCATCTCCGGGGCTTGAAAGTGTAAGCCAGGTCCAGAATTCCAACACAACTGAAAACATCCCATTGTTAAAAGCATGTCTGCAGTCCCTACTGGATTCTGCCTTCCACTGGGGAAGCTTTACTAGCCATCAGAAGCTAGTGAACCCTGAATGTCATTGCTATGCTAGTGACATGTGTGCCAGCTTATATTTGTTTTTGATTTGTTTCTCAAGTGTTTTTCTGTTCAAGTGTCTTCATGACAGTCTGTGCACCACTTGGCTGTGAAGCCCACAGAGGCCAGAAGAGGGCATGGGATCCTTTGGAACTCTAACTGAAGTTAGACATGGTTGTGAGTCACCATGTGGGTGCTGGGAACCTAACCTGGGTTTGAGACCAGATGGCCTCAAACCCACAGGGACCCACCTGCCTCTGCCTTCCAAGTGCTGGGATTAAAGTTGTGTATCACCATGCTCAGCCCAAGGTACAACCTCTTTATGTAATATGTATGCATTTGTGTATTTGCATAAATGTATGTATTTATATTGTGTTAAAAAGCATGAGATTAAAACTTCAGTTAATGAATGAAATACATAGCTGAATTATTATCAGCCTTCCCAGTCACTTTAAAATTCTCCATAGTAGGTAGGAGATGGAGAATAGCTCATCAGTTAGGAGCACTTGATGCTTTGTAGAGGAGGCCCTGCATTCACTTACCTGCTCCTATGTGGCCGCTTACAACTTTCTGTCATTTCAGATCCTAAGGATTTGATGCTCTCTTCTGGCCTTTGTGGGCACCAGGATTGTACATGGTACACATACAAGCATAAAGGTTTATTTACTTATTTGGGTTTTCGGGACAGGGTTTCTCTGTGACTTTGGAGACTGTCCTGGAACTCGCTCTTGTAGACCAGGCTGGTCTCGAACTCACAGAGATCCGCCTGCCTCTGCTTCCCAAGTGCTGGGATTAAAGGCACGTGCCACCACTGCCAGGCTGCATACAGGTCTATATGCATACAAATACACTTATGTACATAAAATAATTTTTAAATCTTTTTTTAAAAATCCCAATGTAATATAATTTGGGTGTTTTGTTTCCATTTCAGTTTTGGGCAGCTGAAGACAAGATCAAGTTCTGGTTGGAGATGAATTCAATTGTAGACATTTTTACCATCCCACCAACCTTTGTTTCTTATTATTTGAAGAGTAATTGGCTAGGTAAGTGTGCTGTGGCAGTCAGTAATCAGTGTCAATGTTGTTTTAACCCCAAACCACTCAACATTCATTTAGAATATTTATCTTTTTAAATATGGCAACCCTCTCTTGACTGTAGAGATTTGTACTATATTTGCAGAAACATTTTTGTTTTGTTGCTTTACTTTGAGATAGGATCTCACTGTGTTTCTCTGGCTGGTCATGAACTCACAGAGACCTGCCTGCCTCTGTCTCATGAATGCTGGGATGTGTCCCCAGCAGAATGACCAGAAATCATTTCTTGCTCCCAGCATGTAGCAATGCACCTGGTACACAGCAGGTGTCTAATAGTTTTTGATGGGATAACTATATCTATAACCAGAAGGGGCAGGGCTCCAGCATCCATGAACCCTTATGCTGGGGTCTCATATGGACTCAAGCAGTGACCTCCCCTGCTCTCTCAAGGTCAACTATCACATTCGGATATGTTGTAACATATTTGGAAATTGTTCGTTATTTGTTTTGTCTTTAAGGTGGGTGTAGTGAGAATGCATGGGCTTTTAAAAATTGGTTTTTATAAAATTTTGTTTTATTTATTGTTTATAAAATACACAACAGTTCTATTTCTTGCTATATAAAGTAAAACTAGGAGTACTGAAAAGTTGAATAATCAGGTGCTTTATGAACCAGTGCAAAGTTTCCTATAAATTCTAAAGTAGAATTAGAGAACAATGAATACTGCTTGTTACATGCAAGGCTGGCATCTACATGCTTGAGATCAGGTCTACTGTGCTGTAAGGTGGGTCCTATAATAGTCCTCACTTTTTGGATGAGGAATTAACTATACATGAGAGTACCCTAGGTAACTGTAGTTAACTTTTAGGACCAGGATTCCATGTCCTTAAACCTGTGACATTACAGCACATTATATTTAAGGGTTTCAGGAAAGTAAAGTGTGTATATCCCAAAACTGATATATTTCAGGCTGCTTTCTCCCGGTTGTTTTGCAGGTTTAAGGTTTCTAAGAGCTTTGCGATTGCTTGAACTCCCTAAAATCTTAAATATCCTCCAAATCATCAAGAGCAGGTAACTGCAGTGCTGCCTGGCATGCTAGCTCCGCTGTTTGTTTTGGGAAATTATAACATTAACAGATCCGCAAGCTCCCCATGTCCTACCAGGATTCCAATATGAAAATGGGGGAAATCCTTCAGTATCTGTGTCCTCCCTCCTTCCCCCCCCCTCTTCTCTTCCTCTTCTATATCCTCCCTCCCACCCTCCTGCCTTCCTCCCTTCCTCCTCCCTCCCTCCCTCCTTCCCTTTCTGTTCCTCACCTGGGCTTCCACACACCCCCTTCCTCCATGTAGCATTTAGTGCCCTGGCTGAAAACATGGCAGTCCTTGTAAAGAGATTGCTTGTTCCTTGTTTTGCAAAATTACAGTATATAAGTCTGCTTTAATTTTAATTCCAGATCTCTCTGCCCAAAACAAAAGTAGTCAGCCAATACAGAGGTTTGGACTTAATACATTTGTTATTAAGAATCACCTCTCTCTGTGTGGCTAGAAAAAGTTGTTCCTGGAGGCCAGGGATTGTTAAATGTACCCCAGTGCCAGAGGTGGGATACCTCCCATAGAATTTGTGGTCAGGACCACAGGCCCCCAAACACAGCTTCTTGTCACTTCTGGTTTCCCACAAGTACTAGATAATAAGACCCAGTTGCTGAAGACACCACACACCTTAGTTGTAGAATATAGAGAAATCAACTGGAACTGGGCCGAAAGCTTCCTCCCTGCTAACTAGCTTTTATAGTCCCTCCCTGAAGATGCTGGGCAAGCTGCTGAGGCAGAAAAGGCATCAATGGTCTTACCCAGCTGTGAACCTGACAGACTATAACACCAACTTGCCAGACGAGTTGTACCCACTTGTGCAACAATGGCACTATTATCTCGGGGACAACACTGCTCTCCGCTTGGATTTGAGACCTGCTCCATGGGAGGGAATCCATGCTTGGTACTGTGAACCTGGTTAAAAGTCTGTGCCAGGGTTATCATACACACTAAGGCGGGCAAAGGGTACATGGGTGGAATACCTTTTTATACTTCATAATGTAAAACTGCCTTCTAAACACTTATACTCATACCCATAGACAAATGCTGCTCTCAGCCTTAATCAGACACCATTTTTTCCTAGTGATCAGGGTGAGTGCAGAGACTCAGGCTGTACAGAGTGCTGATAATAAATGGTATATGAGTGCACAGTCCTAAGCAAGACACATATTCCATCCCCTCTAAGGTTCAAGGGATGCTGAAGGAGAGGAGGCAGAAAGAATGAATGTAAAAGCCAGAAGACAGGGAAAAACTCTTCAAATGCCATTTTTGCGAGACACAGCCATTGCGATTGTGATCTCACAGTAGCCACTGATGTCTGCCCTGGGTCTGCACAATAACACACCCACTGCCAATCAGGCATGGGTAGAGGGAGGGGCTCAGAGGGCACTCCCCCTCACTGATGCACCATTGTATACTGATAAATTCACAGAGCTGGAGGGTCAATTGTGTGCCCAGTGGTGATGCCACTAGGTTCCAATGGACAGTTCCAATCCACTGCTCAGAAGATGGCTCTGGTTCAACTAAGGGGGTTACAAGGACAAGCACAGAGTCATGAATCAGGGAAAGGTGGGGATTGACAGGATGGTAAGTAAGGATTGCAGGACAGAGTAATCAGAATGTATTTTATGCATGCATACAATTATGAAAGAACAAAGGTGATCAATTAAGAAAAGAATCATCTCTTATTGGCTAATAAACATTTCTTCAGGTTTAGAGGTGTAACAGTTCTCCTGAGCATGGGAAATATTTGTCAGCAGCAGTGAACTATTGCTTAGAGAAGTAAAGCCATGAACTTAGGGTGTGGCTTAATGAGAGAGCACTTACTTGGCATATACAAGGTCCTGGGTTCAAACCCCAGCATGACAGGCAAATAAAAATAGTGCAGCTTAAATATCTCCAAAGACAATGATAAAAGTGCAAGCTATCTCTTTCAACACACTGCTACATTCTTATTAGAAATATCAATGCTATAGTCTAAGTACATCTCAGTGTTTAATATGCATTGTGATGAAGTCAATGCCAGAAAGATTATTTTTACATGACAAATGGCCAGGTCAGAAACCACAGCTATTTCAACTAACTCTAGGCTTTTCTTGATAGACTTAAGCCTCAACAATCCTGGTGTGTAGTATGACACCTCATTTATTTTACAAATCCACACTGAACTCCTGCCATTTTGTTCTACTACTTTAGACAAAGTTATATATAATCTTACAAAATTATTGAGTACTGATCACATGTACACCTTTAAAACACCAGGCAAGCCAGCTGGGGGGTGGCCCATGCCTTTAATTCCAGCACTTAGGAGGCAGAGGCAAATGGATCTTTGTGAGTTTAAAGCCAGCCTAGTCTACAGAGCTACTTCCAGGACAGGCTCCAAAGACACACAGAGAAACCTTGTCTTGAAAAACAAAACAAAAAATAAACAAAAACAAAAAGACTACAGGCTAATAAATGACACAGTAAAATCTGTAGTGTTTGAAGAAATAAGTAACACTGGGTGAGTTTCCAGCAGTGTTTCTCAGACTTTTAAAGCATACACGGATGATACAGAGGCCGGGTAACCATGCAGACTGGTAGGTGAGGGCAGAGCACCAGCTTCCTGACTGTGTCCCATGCTGTGAGCAGAAATCTGGGCCCTTGGGCACAATGTGTTTGTGTTGATTGAGAACCTACCTGCAGATACCTAATAGTTCCTTGTCCTTGTCCTTTTAGTAATTCAGTGAAGCTTTCCAAACTCTTGTCAATAGTTCTCAGTACCTGGTTCACAGCTGCAGGATTCCTTCATCTGGTAAGTAGATCACTGCAGTCCCCAGTGGCATCCGCCAGTGTGAGCATCCTTGCAGTCCCATGACTAAAAGCAAACTGGTGCTACCCCATTCCTTAGATGTTAAGGTCATGTGCTTAGGCTCACTGAAACCTAGGCCCAGCTTCATTTTCACCATCTTCTTAGAAAATGAAAATGAAAATGAATGGTGATTGCTGGAGACCCCTGGCTCAGGGGAAGCAGGCAGCAATTCCAAATTGAGTATTCCAAATTTCAGTGCAAGCCCTGTGCCCTCATCAGATCTCAATGGTAATCATAATTGTTAATTGTGGGAATAAGGCTGTCTGATCACCACAAACAATTGGTAGGCCCCTCTTAGCAGCTACAGTCATTTGCTCTTGTCTTTGGATTGAACTGGGGGAAATGGATGTTTTGTTTGCCCTCTCCCTCCCTTCTATTCACAGACCCTTTTTCCTTTGTCATCTCTCTTTGGACAGGTGGAAAATTCTGGTGATCCCTGGCTCAATGGTAGAAATTCACAGAGTATGTCATATTTTGAGTCCATTTACCTGGTAACAGCAACAATGTCAACTGTTGGCTTTGGGGATGTGGTAGCCAAGACATCCCTAGGACGGACTTTCATTGTTTTCTTCACCCTTGGAAGTTTGGTGAGGAATATTTTTATTATCTCAAGTACAAAAATAAAGCATGCTGTTAACAGTGAGAAATCAATATAGATTTGAAAGTGAATGTTGCTTAATTCAGTGTAAGTGAAAATGAAAAGATGCACAGATCCTGCCATTTCCAAACCATGTAACCTGGACCCTAGAGTGCATTTGCTTGCTTTCCAGGGATGAAAGGAAGCAGAATTCCAAAAATATTTACATTACAATTCATAACAGTAACAAAGTTACAGTTATGAAGTGGTAAAATTTTTTTTATTAATTTACTTTTTACATTCCAATCCCAGTTTCCCCTCCCTCCTCTCCTCTCACTCCCCCCCCCCCCCACACCACCTCCCATCTACTCCTCGGCCAGAGTAAGGTCTCCCTTAGGAAGTCTACTAAGTCTGTCCCATCATCTACTTGAGGCCAGAACAAGGCACCTCCACAACCCTCACACCCTTGTGACTAGGCTGAGCAAGGTACTTCTCCATATAGAATGGGCTCCACTAAGTCAGTTTGTGCATTAGTGTTAGATCTTAGACTTACTGCCAGTGACCTCATATACTGCCTCAGTCACACCATTGTCACCTATATTAAGGGAGTCTAGTTCAGTCAGACCTGAGTCGGTGATCTCTCACTAGCTCAAGTCAGCTGATTCTGTGGGTTTCCCCATCATGGTCTTGACTCCTTTGTTCATATTATCACTCGTCCCTCACTTTGATTGTACTCCAGGAGCTTGGCCTAATGGTTAGTTAACAAAATAATTTTATGGTTAGGGGTAACCACAACATGAGGACTGTGTTAAAGGGTCACAGCAGTAGGAAGGTTGAGCCACTGTGCTACAGCTAAACACTGAGCTGAACTCTTGGAATCCAGTTGCAGACAGGGAGGAGTGAGGAGCAAAGGTCAGGAACAGGCTTGGGAAACTCGCAGAAACAGCTGAACCGAATAAGGGGAAGCTCATGGACCCCAGTCTGATAGCTGTGAAACCAGCATAGGACCAATCCAGACCCCTGTATGTGGGTGTCAGTTAGGAGGCCCAGGCCGTCTATGGGGCCTCTGGTAGTGGATCAGTATTTATCCCTAGGTTATGAATGGACTTTGGGAGCCCATTCCACATAGACGGATACTCTCTCAGCCTAGACACATCTGGGAGGGCCTAGCCCTGCTCCAAATGATATGATAGACTTTGAAGATTCCCCCATGGAAGGCCTCACCCTCCCTGGGGAGCAGAAAGGGGATGGGATAGAGGGTTGATGGGGGGCAGGGGAGGAGGGAAAAGAGAGGGAACTGGGATTGACATGTAAAACAAGCTTTTTTTCTAATTTAAATTTTAAGAAAAGGAGAACAGAGAACCACTGTGCTAGATGAAAGACATTTATGTATACTTGTCTTTTTCTTTATATTTTTGTAATTTGGGACATCTGTCAAAGTAATGAGCCCAGAATTTTTCTTTTTACTTATTTATTTTAGGTTCTATTTGCAAACTACATCCCAGAAATGGTGGAGCTTCTTACCAACAGGAAGAAATACACCAAGCCCTATGAAGTAGTCAGAGGAAAGAAGTAATTAGCTTTTCCTTATAGTTCCTACAGTTTAAGACATTTTGTTGGTCACATATCTTGTTCTAGACACATAGTGCCTGCCATAGCTATAGACCCGAGGAAATACATTGCCAAAGCTTTTCATTCCCAGAAGAGAATAGTGTTAGAATGAATGCCATATCAACAGGATGCTTACTGCTTGGTACAAATTGCAATGTAGATCTATTCACAAGAGTATTTAGTCAACTTATGTCAACTAAATAATAGGGAGGAGAGAGATAGTCCCTCAAATAACAACATTTGTGAATAGCAGTTTTGCAAGCATAGGGGGTAGAAAGTCTATTACATGATAAATCACTATGTCAATTGTAACAATAATGGTAGCTTTCCTAGAAATCTCAATATAATGTGACTGTTTGGAGACATGCATGTTTTGAGATGAGGCAAAAGACTACAAAACTGGATGCTTCCTTTGCTCTTTGAAGTTCAGTTTTGCATTGCTGAAATCTAAAGAAAGGATTCCTAGACAAAACTTACTGAAGTTTGAGCTAATTTCCCTTCTATAAGTTTGACAGGAAGATATCGGATTCTGGGAGTTCAACCAGCCTCAGATAGAAAACATTAAAAACAATTTGCATCATGACTGAACTTGTGTACACTGTTTTTCTTGTCATTATCCCACAAACAACACTATGACAAATACTAACATATTGTGTTAGATTTTACAAGTAACCTTGAGATGACTTAAAATAGACTGGGGATGTGTGTAGGTACACACAAGTACATTTTAAATGAGGACATCAAGCATCTGTAGGTTTTGATTATTTGCAGGGGTGGGGGGGTGACTTTTGGGAGTCCATTCCCTCAGATATCGTGAGAGAGTGGTCCCTTTGTTCCTCAGATGCACCTCTTCCCCTATCTTGCTGCCTAGGTTCATCGTGGTCTGTGGAAACATCACAGTTGACAGTGTGACTGCCTTTCTGAGGAATTTTCTCCGCCATAAGTCAGGAGTAGTCAACACTGAGATTGTGTTCCTCGGAGAGTAAGCACACCATTATGGCTCAATGGGTTCTAAATGAATAGTGAACTATTTATTTAGTTTTTAATGGAAGAGAATTACACTTGCAAAATTTATAGGAATTTTAGGAAACAATAGTAAACAAAATAGAAAAAGAATTACTTTAAGATCAAGTGTAGAAAAAGAAAAGTAACTTCATGTTCAGACCTAACCAGTGCAAAAACTCTTGGAATCACTTTCCATATGCTTTTCTGCATATCTACTGACATTATTTAAGCGACTCAGTTACTGGACACTTAGGTACTATGAAAGCTAGCAGTAGGGATGAAGCTTCCAAGTCAGGACCAGCTTGATTTGTCCATGTCTCATGACTCAGGTGTGTGGTGTCTTCAGCAATAGAGTCTTACCTTCAGTTCTAATGAGTGACCAAGAACAATGGCATTTGCCTGTATACTTTTGGAAGTCTTTGGGACTCTTTTGATCAATGGCTCAAAGAGAGGTAGTCCATACCTGTGTATCAGTGTTTTTTTTACCTTAGCTCTGTTGTATAACCTGAAATCACACACAGTGAAACTTCCTTCATTATTATCATTGTTCAGGATTGCTTTGGTAATCTAGAGTCTTTATGTTTCTATAAGAAATCTAAGATTCTGCCCCCCCCCCCACCCTGTGGAGAATGGTACTGTAATTTTGATGGAGATAATATTGACTCTGTAAATTGCTTTTGGTAGGATGGCCATATTGTTTGTTTATTTATATTTAATTTGTTGAGACAGGTTTTTCTATGGAGCCCTGACTGTCCTGGAACTCACTGTGTAGTCTAGGCTGGCCTTTATCTCAGAGATCTGCCTGCTACTGTCTCCCTAGTGCTAGGACTAAAGGTGTGTGCTACCATGCCTGGCCTAAAATAGTCATTTTTTTTGAAATCCATGAACATGGATTTAGTTTCTTCCTCAATTTTTTTCTTCAGTGCTTTAAAATTGTCCTTGTAGAAATCTTTCCTGTCCTTTGTCAGGTTTATGCCAACCTTTTTTGTTTGTTTTGAAGGATATTGTGAAATGGGGTTGTTTCTCTGATTTCTTGTTTAGTTTATTTGTCATTGACATAGAAAAGCTACACTCTGTGTGTGTGTGTGTGTGCGTGCATGTGTGCGTGTGTGCATATATGTGTGTGTGTGTGTGTGTGTGTGTGTGTGTGTGTGTGTGTGTGTGTGTGAATTCTGTAGCCTGCCATGTTGATGAAAGGGTCAGTTTGGGGTTTTATGGTGGGGTCTTTAGGGGTCTTATGTGCACTATAGTATCATCTGCAAACTGGGATTCTTTGACTTCTCCTGATTGTATTCCTTTTAGTTCCTCTTCTATCTTCTTGGTGTAGCTAAGAGTTTATGTAGGAGTGGAAGAGTGGGCATTGTTGTCTGATTTTTAGTGGTAATGCTCTGGGCATTTCTGTAATTAGCATTATGTTGGCTGTAGGTTTGTTGTGTTAGTGTGATGTTGGCTATAGGCTTATTGTGTCTAGCTTTTGTTATGTTGAGACATGGCCCAATCCCTAATTTCCCCAGGACTTCTATCATGAAAAGATATTAGGTTTTGTCAAAGTATATGATTTCTGGAATTGAAGTCCAATGATGTTCTGAAGTAAGCAAATTTATTTACATATGTTGAACAATTCCTACACCCCTGCAATGAAGTCAATTTGATCATGGTGAGTGATCTGTTTTGATATGTTCTTGAATTAGATTTGTAAGAATTTTATTGAGAATTTTTGTTTCTCTTTTCACCAGGGAGATTGTTTTGTTGTTGTCTTTATGTGATTTGGGTGTCAGTGTAATACTAACTTTATAAAATAAATTTGGAAACCAATTTTCTATTTTCTGAATAATTCTTGAAGGATTTGAGTTAGTTTTTCTTTCAGAGTGTGACTTGAGTTTTGTAGTCAAATCAGATTTATCCTCCCCCCTCCCTTATTCCCACTAAGATACTTAAAATTAATGCTTTGAGCCAGGCATGGTGGTGCATGCCTTTGAACCCAGCACTGTACCTATTTTTTGCAATATGAGTTTTTTAGAGGAGTAAATTATTACTTTACTAGATATTTTGCCTTCTTCAAAGAAATTAGGTTTTCTAAATTTTGACTAAAGAATTAATGAGAACTAAACCCATGTTTAAAATACTTGTTATCATTTATAGGTGTGTTAAAATTGCTCAGGTCAGAGACAAGATCAGCTCTCACATTCTGTCTGCATTCACTTCATATATTTAGAAGCCATCTTGTTAAATCATGCCTGCAAATGTTTTATCTTTTTATATTTAAGATTTTATTTTCAATTATGTGTATATGTTTGTGGATATATGCAGTTGAGTGTTGGTGCCTGTGGAACCCAGAGGAGGATATTGGTTCACCTGGAGCTGGAATTGGCAGGTGGCTGTGAGCCACCTTGTGTAGATCTGGAACTGAAGTCTGGTCCTCCCTAAGAGCAGTCAATGCTCTTAACTCTACTGTGCCATCTCTTTGGCCTTGAAATGCTGTATCTCTCTGAATGATTGAAATGTTTTTAAGTAGTAATTGATTATTACAAGGCATTATTTGATTCATGGTTTCTGAATTGTTTTGGTTTTGTATCACTAAGACTGCTCAGGCCTGGTGTACAGACCCATTTTGGATTAGGTTAGTTGTGGCAACATCCTCTAGCTATATGGATGTATAATGGAATAGAGATGGCTTCTGATGGAATTAAGGATTTAATAAATGCATTAAGTCAGCTAACAACTACCAAGCAGAACCAACTTTGGGTTTCTGTCTTTGCCACTGAACTCTTTCATCTAGGGTTCCCCCGTCCATGGAACTGGAGACCATACTGAAGTGCTACTTGTCCTGCACGACATTTGTCTGTGGCTCTGCACTGAAGTTCGAGGATCTAAAGCGAGCTGCAGTAAGATCTACCTCTTTTTCTGTTTGTTCCTTCCCTAAACCAAGAGTGAAAACAATAGGTTGTGTTGCTGGATCAGACGCTAGCCCAAGTCCTTTGACTGGAGGAAAACACAACTTCCATACTTTTAAACACTGATCAGAAAAATGGTGTAATAACTGGCTTCCAAATCCTTGACTCATAACAAGTCGATTTCAATGTTGATCTACATTTAAAATTTTTCTTCCATCAAATTCTCTTTGAGATTTTATTATATTACTTAAGGAATTTGGAAAAAGTTATAGATAATAAAACTGTGTGTTCTTTTATGTCTTTTATTTTTAAAATATTTAATTCAAAAACATTAATTTGCATAGTATATGATAAAATCTTCCCCCACCCTTTATTTTTATTTATTCCTTGAGAATTTTGTATATTCATACCACTTGTTTTACTTATATTCACTCCTCTTCCCATCCAGCTCCTTCTGGGTTCCTCCATGACCCCCATCCAATGTAATATTTCTCTGTCTGTCTGTCTGTCTATCTATCTGTCTATCTCTGCCTGTCTGTCTTCTTTTCTCTCTCTGGATCTTGTTTTATTTTTTTGTAACCCACTGAGTCCGATTAGTGATGCCCATATACACATGGGTCATGGGTGTGAGACTCCTTACTGGAGCATGGTCAACCTATTAGATACCACACTCCTAAAAAATACTGACTCCCTACACTAGTAGCCATTAACTGACAACAGCTCCTCAACTATTGGCTTTTATGCCCCTCCCCAGTCCATTTGGGAATGTTGACTGGCTTGATCTTGTACAGGTCTTACACAGGCAAGCAAAGCTACTATTAGTTCATAGGTGAAATAGTCCTATCATGTCCAGAATATACTGTTTTATCTCCAAACATTTCAACCTTTGGCTCTAAGAATCTTTCCACCACACAATCTGTCTATGTTCTCTGAACCTTGGAGGGAAGGGATGTGATACAGATGTCCACTTTGTGGCTAATCACTTAACAGACACTTAATCTTTGCACTGTGACTAATTGTTAGTCTCTGTTTTGACTGCTGTCCACTACATAAAGAAGCTTCTGTAGGGAGAAGCTACACTTATCTATGGATATAGACACTGTATTTTAGAAGGTGGTTTGAAAGTATGTACATTTATCAAAGTAATATTAGCGGATTCTCTCCTAGTGCTTATGAGCTTCCCAGTCATGGGTTTGGGTTTACAGTACAGGACTGAGTTTCTTTCTACTCCCAGCCCCTAAATCCAACCATAGTTTGTTAGTCCTATAGTATTTATGCCACTATTACATCCATTGTTAGGCTAGTTATTATTGTAGCTTGCAAAATTCACAGCTGGGTAAGACTTCCATTGATGACTTTTCTCCTCCAGCAGGCTACATAGCTGAATATGGTCTTAACCATGGACTCATTGGGTCTCATCAACTTCCCTTCTTAAATACTGGTATGCCTTTGATAAGATAAACATTAAGAAAAATAGTAGAAATCCCAGCAAAACCAAGGCTAAAAATAATAAACAATGGCCAAGTGGATAGTAAATTTGGTATTAGATAAAAACAGGTTTCCTGGTATCTAAGTAACAAACCTGAATATTTCAGTTTAAAGCAAAAGTCTACAGCAGTGGTTTTCAACCTGTGGGTTGCAACCACTTTGGGGGAGGTGTCAAATGACCTTTTCACAGGAGTTGCCTAAGACCATTGGAAAACACAGATATTTACATTATGATTCATAACAGTAGCAAAATTACAGTTATGAAATAGCAATGAAAATAATTCTATAGTTTGAGGTTCAGTAAGGTCTCTAGTTCCAGTACAACACAAACTGTATTAAAGGGTTGCAGCAGTAGGAAGAATTGAGAACCGCTGGTTTATAGAGCTAATGTAGACTCACACAGAAAATAACAGACTCAGCATAATCTTTTTTCTGACTTATAATTTGATACTGTAGGAGTTATAGTTCTCTGGCACTTTAAGATTCAGAACCCAAATATCGAGTGACTCTTCATTGTAGACAACTATATTCCCAATTCTCCCACTGTTTGGTGTCCTTAAGGTGGATAAGTGTAATGGCAGTTGCTGAAGAAGGTCTTATTGCACATTGGCAGACATAAGTAATGGTGATATACAGTACGGGAAAGTACAACTTGAAACTGTACCCGTTCATTGTAAATGAACTTTTGGTTTCTGTATGAGACCCCGTGCCATGCTCCATCATCTGCAGCCCTCAGAGCCCTGGCAACATTTGTAGGACTGTGGCCTTGATACGGAGATGTCTGGTCCATGACTCCTTCCTACATGTGCTCTTCTTGTTGGTGATAGTTCGATGAAACCATAAGAAAGCCTCAAAGAGGGAGCACTAGAACATTCCCCTTGTCATTAACCTGACGGCTGCTGTTTAATCTGAAGAATAGGTGGAGTCTGCAGAAGCTTGCCTGATCCTAGCCGACCCTTTGTGCAGTGACTCGCATGCGGAAGACAACTCAAACATCATGAGGTGAGAAGCTGGTGTTGCTCTGTTTGTTCTTGAATGTTCCATTGATGTTCTCCTTTATATACCAAAAAAAAAAAAAAAAAAAAAAAAGCTTATCACTCATCAACAACTGAGGGGAGATGTCATCTCTGATTCAGTAGGTTCATCATTTGCCAGGTTTCAGCCTGTTTTCCTCACATGTACCCCAAAACAGTGAGTGCAAAGGGAAATAAAAATAGAACATCTTTTTTTAAATTTAATTTATTATTTTACATGTCGATCCCAGTTCCCTCTCCCTCCCTCCCTCTTACCCTCTCTGCCCTCTCACATGCACCCTGACCACCACCATCCCCTCCCATCCCCCCACCCCAATTCCACATGTAGGGCAATGCCATCCAGTTGGGGTCATGTAGATCTGACAGGTCATGTGAAGTAGGGACTAGGGCTGCTCTCCTGTCTCTAGGTTAAGGCAGTTATCCCTCCATGGGGGATGTGTCCGCAAGGTCCTTTTGTGCACCAGGGATACATCCTGGTTCCACTGTCTGAGGTTCTTTAGACTGCTCAGTCCTTCTGGCTGAGACCCATATTCAGGGGGTCTGAGTCAGTCCCATGCTGGATTCCCAGCTATCAGTCTGGGGGCCCATTAGCTCCTGCTTGTTCAGGTCAGGTGTCTCTCTGTGTTTCGGCAACCTGGTCTTTCCTCTCCCTCTGCATCTGGGTTCTAGTTCCACTCAGTGTTTAGGTGTTTGCTTCTGTTTCCAACAGGTATTAGATGAGGGCTCCATGGATAAGTTAGTTGTTGATCTCTCTATCTGGGAAGAGCATTTATAGTAGCCTTTCCATGGTTGCTCAAATTGTTAGTTGGCGGTGGTTTTGTAGGTCTCTAGACCTTTCTTTAGGTTCAGTTTTCTCTTCAAACCAATATTGGCTCCCTCTTTTATGTCCTCTCTCTCCCTCCCTCTCTCTCTCTCTCTCTCTCTCTCTCTCTCTCTCTCTCTCTCTCTCTCTCTCTCTCTCCTGTCTTCTATTCCTAGCCTGACTCAATCTTCCTGGTCACAAGTGTTTTACTCTCCTCCCCCTCTCTTTCTCCTACTTCTCTCTCCATTCACTGCCCTCCCCACTTCCCCTGTGCTCTGGGGGACTTGTCCCTTCCCCCTTCTGTGAGGCACTTTATATGAATCTCTTAGAATACACCTTGTATCCTAGTTCCTCTGGTGGTGTGAATTATAGGCTGGTGATCCTTTGCTCTAGGTCTAAAATCCATATATGAGCAAGTACATACCATGTTTCTCTTTTTGTGACTGGGTTACCTCATTCAGGATGATTTCTTCAAGTGTCATCCACTTGCCTGCGAATTTCAAGATTCCATTAGAAAATAGAACACCTTAATTGTGTATGGCTTTCTCCATATTTACCTCCAATTTCCTACAGATAAGAGCTATATACATTTTAAAAGCAATCATACCAACACCCTCTCCCCTTTTTTTGGTGGTAAGGATCAAACCCAGGACATCATGCATTAACTCTACCAACCGAGCTACATTCCCAGCTGTAACTCCAGGTTGGTGTTCAGAAAGTGTTATTATGAGTAAGATCCTCCTCTGTTAAAAAACATAGATGACATTTGTGAATCCTTGTAGTCAGACTTTCCTTTCCTGCCAGCCAGTTCCCAAATAAGCACACAGACTCTTATTAGTAATTGTAAATGCTCGGCCAATAGCTCAGGCTTGTTACTAGCCAACTCTTACATTTTTATGTTTTTGGTTGTGAGCCTAGCCTTTAACGGCTGAGCCATCTCTCCAGCCCAACTCTTACATTTTTAAACTAACCATATATCTGCCATGTGGCTTGGTACCTTTTCTCATTACAGCAAATTCACCTCCTCCTCTCTGTGTCTCCTTGTGCTTCTGATACTTCTCTTCCTCTCCGTGCTCCCTTTTTGTCTATGAGTCCCACCTAACCTCTACCTGGCCTGCTACTGGCCAGTCAGATTTTTTTTTAACCCAATCACAGTGACATATATTCACAGTGTAGTGGAATATTCCACAAATCCCATTTATATTCTTTATTTATTGGAATTTTTCTTTAGTAGTTCTAGGAAAAGAGTACACATGGTTGAGTGTGATGTGTCTGTGCACCCTGGAAAGTGTTCTCAAGATGAAAGGAGGTAGTGTTCCCAACTTTAACTATTAGGTATCTATGAGCAGAAAATTTTCTTGTGGTGACAGAAAATTTTCTTGTTGGCTCTGTTCCTGGGGCAAAATAAATATGTGTTGAAGATATGCAGAGTGAGAAATAGTTGAGAAATTACATCATGTATGTTTCATTGAACAGTAGATATATTTTAGTCTCTTAATCTATGAAATGAGACATTTTATATGCTATATAAAGGTGCAAGGCTAAGATATTTGAAACTGTTTATGTCTTCCTTGTCAATGGATTCATTTTCAACTACTAAAACCTGGCCTGCCTGTAGATTTGGTTACTTGGTCACTTAAAGCATGTTGCTTCACTGGTCACATCACTGTAAATACTTTTCAGAAAGCAATGTAGTAGCGCTAGAGGTGCCTCAGCAGTTAGGAGCACTCTCTGCACTTTTACAGGACTCAGGTTCAGTTCCTGTAACTCCCGTCCCAGGGACTCTGGTACATTCTTCTGGACTTGTAGTACACCCACATATGTTTGAGGGAACACTGCTATACATAAAATAAAAACAAATAAATCTTAAAAAGGAAAACATAACTATTAACACAGAATGTAGAAACAGGCTAACAATGAATTTTGTAATGTGCTGAGTCCCTCCCACACTTATTCACAAATAGATTTAACTCTGAATTGATTATATCACAAAGCCAGTATGACTTTTGAGCATATTGTGATTTTTTTTCAGGGTGCTTTCTATCAAGAACTACAATTCCCAGATCAGAGTCATCATTCAGATCCTTCAGTCCCACAACAAGGTATTATATGGCAGTTGAGTGCATTTGGTTTTCTCATCTTCAGGTTTCCTTATAGATCTACATATTTTTAAAAAATCAGCAATAGATGGAATTTAGAGTCTCTTTAAAATGGTAGATCACTTAGGGATGCAAACAAGGGACAGAATTAGTGAGTGCAGCCATTTGACCTGATTTTTAAAAAAATATCAGTTTAATAAGATATACTTTAGTCCAACTTTAAATCTGGACTAAAATTGAGGAACTTTGGAAAAGGAAATTAGTACAAAAACTTTAGATTAAAAAATCATCAATAAACATTAAAATTGTACAAATTGATAAAACATAGAATTTGCAAACAAATACTGTTCAGTTTAGTAATTTTGAGATAATTTGACCTGATTTGTACAACTTCAGGTTTTTTGTTTGTTTGTTTGAAAGTAGCAGCACAGGAAGCACACTGACACTTTCAAATGCAGACTGTGTTCTAATCATGTCCACTGACTTGGTGCTACCTTTATTCTCAGTAGTGAAGGGGAAATTATTTAAAGAAAACATGCACCCATAAGAGGTTTCTTGTGGTGTCTGCTTTCTTAATGCCCGACTTTCTATCATGAAATAGGTTTTTCTGTCAAAAATCCCCACCTGGAACTGGAGTGCCGGAGACAATATCATCTGTTTTGCAGAACTAAAGCTTGGATTTATTGCCCAAGGCTGCTTGGTGCCAGGCCTGTGTACCTTTCTTACGACTCTGTTTATTGAGCAAAACCAAAAGGTAACTTTATACAGTGATATTGAGTCTTGGCTGTGTCCCACACAATGTGATCCGAAGTAGAACCAAATAAATAAATAAATAAATAAATAAAAATAAAAATCAAAGAATGCAAGAAGTCTCTTGGGCAGGGAAGGATGTAGAGATCTGGATTCAAGTTCCAGGTGTTTCCCAGGCCTTGTAGAAGTCATTGTTAAAACATTTGCAGCATCAATTTGCAAAACAGAGGTTGTAATTCTGTTTCTGCCTGTGTCCCAGGATACTGTAAATGTAAGTATTTTCATAAATTCAGAAATATTTTAAGTTATTAAGTGTAGAGATGTAAACAGCTTTAGTCTTAACAGTATTTAAATTTAAACAGATAATTAGTATAATAATTATCATATTAATCACATAGAAATAATACAAATAATAGCTAAAATCTAACCAGTTTCTAGATTGCTTTGGGGCAAATCCACCCAGGAACAGGAATGATGCTCATAAATTAATAGTGGTCACATGCTGCCTCCCAGTGGTGTGTCTAGGCAGTCCCCAGCTGGAGTGGGAACACTAACAAAAAGGTTTTATGTATAGTAAGCTGGTGAACAGCACATCATTTGGGTCACAGTCTTTATAGATCATAGAGCCTTTGTGTGGGACAAAATAAGGGGCAAAGAGTAGTGCTGCTTTGTAATCCTACTGGTGGCCATCTAGTGTGTTTTCCATGAGTGTTCCTGGGGCTAGGTGGCAGGCTCTGTTGTCCTTTACTGAAGATCCTGCAGAGATTAGCCCTCCTTGTGACAGGTGCTATCTGAGAGACTGAGAAAGAACAAGAGATGCACTTTATCTCAGTGTGGAGGAAAGGAATAAGAAAGGGAGCCAAATGATCAGGAATAGGTGACTGGTTTTAGCAGGGCAATTTTCAAACCACAAAATGGTTTGAGGAGAGTGTCTGAGGTCACTGTTATCTCCATAGTAAGAGTTGCTCTAGAGAATCTAGAAATTTCCATCTTCATCCATGTTCTGGCTTATGTCCTACTCTGTGGTGGCATCACTGTAGGGCTCACAAGGAAGGTGAGGAGTTGCCTTGTTAAGAATGTTCATTCAAGAGCTGGATGTTGCACGTGCCAGGTCCTGGGTTCCACTGTAGCACCAGAGCCACCTTTGGCCCTCTCACTTCTCTAGAGACCTACTTCTGGCCTTGGGCTTCACATTACTGTCAGTCCTGACCAACACCATCTTGGGTTTCTATAAACCTGAGAAGGTTTCTCATTCTTGGTGGAAGTCACAGATATTTTTTTTCTTTGTGGTATGAGATTTTTCAGTTAAAAGTAAGATTAATCAACGTCAATCCTAAACCATCATATCCAGAGAACAACTTAGATTCCACATTGCCCCTCCCACATTACTGTTAGTGTCTCGAAAAACAGTAAGGCTTCTGTGCTAAAGGTAGCAATGGGCCAGAGAAAATAATTCTAGACCTGACAAGGAAACTTGGAGGTTGTTAACTTACAAATGCTCTTACTTCAAAAGAAATAAAATAGTGTATTTGAGTGACTAGGGCTTGGGAACACAGATTTAGATTACCCCAAATCCCATGTTTCCATATGGAAGCAGTTTTATGGAGTGTTTATAGTAATAGAGCAAGGAAAGTCATAAGACTTTTAAAAACACATCAGCAGATACATCTGAAAGGCAGTTACAGCCATGCAGAGAAATCTCAGCTATAAGCCTCTGCTACTATCTGATTGCATCCTGAGCCCTTTGATTGGCGGAGAAAAGGGATTTTTAAATTAATACATTCCAAAGGTTCTTATTTATTTATCAGGAAGTTGGGTCAGACAGGGATAAGTAAGGCATAGCTATTTAGGGGGATTATGGGAAACTGTAATTAGACTCTGGACCTGCAATTTTCCAAACTCACCACAGGCATTGACGTTTTAATTAGTCAATCAGCCTATGCAGACACAGCTTCTTTCCAGGAATTCTCCTTCACAATGCCTTCTGGGAAGAAACTGAGTGGTGAGGTGCCCACATCAGCTTGGATTCCATGGAAAACAGATAAGTTTAGGTTCCTCCTTTAACGTTGTTCCACAGAACACTAGGCTGTATCTCCTCTCTGTGATACACATGTAGTTGAAAATAATTGGGTACTTGACAGTCTATGTAATCTATAGTATAACATCAAATTTTCTTATTAATATACTGTACATATTTAATATATGTATATGCATGTATGTATAAGTACCAATATAGATGTAACTGTATATATGGTATAATTATATTTTGTAGGTTTTTCCTAAGTATCCCTGGCAAAAATATTTCTTGAATAGCTTGCAGAACAAAATTCTGACGCAGCGCCTCTCTGATGACTTTGTTGGGATGACATTTCCTGAGGTCTCCCGGTATGTTAAGGAAAGCCTTTACCCCGTTTTTCGTGCAATGCCCTCATCTCACACTGCCAATGAGGGTTCGCTGTAGGTAGGCTCCAGTACAAATTCTGGAGATGAAAGACCAGTTAGGTCAGAGCCTCTAGATCAGCAGTCCTCAACCTTCCTAATGCCACAACCCTTTAATACAGCTCCTCATCTCATGGTCACCCCCAACCATAAAATTCTTTTTGTTGCTACTTCATAACTGTAATTTTGCTACTTTTATGATTCATAATGTAAAAAATCTGATATGCAGTATATCTAATATTCGACCCCCAAAGGGGTCACGACCCACAGGATGGGAGCCACTATAGATCCCAGCACTTTACAGAGCATGTGGTACAGTTTCACCTCCATCCCAGGGGGCACTTTTGCTAAAATTTATGTTGGGTGGATTCAATTTCAAGTGGAAATCTGTATTTAGGAGGTGCTTTCTTCATTGAGTAGTTGATTTTCTTCCCTGCACAGAGCATAAAGGGTTCATGGAGCCCAGCCTGCTGCTTGTCTCTCTCCTCATAACTCTTTTGTTTCCCTCCCCAGGCTTTGCTTTGTGAAGATGCATCTCATGCTGATCGCCATCCAGCACAAGTCCCTCTTTCACAACTGTTGGTACAGATAAAGCTTTTCGTTGTCTCAAGGGTGTTTTTGGTTTCTGTTGTTGAGGGGAGTTTGACTTTGTTGGTAGAGTAGATGAAGGAGAGAGGGGGATAATAATAATAATTTCTCAAGAGCTTGTAAGTTAAGAATTTATAACTGGATATGGTAGCATTGACTTGCAACCTAAGCACCCAGGAAGTTGAGGCAGGAAGATCACTGATAGTCTGAGGCCAGGCTGGGCTGCATAGTAAGATCCATCCTCAAAAACAAAAACCAAACTAAGTTTATAAATTCTCACAAATACAGTCAGGCATGTCATTGTAATTGTGCCACTTCTCAAGTTTTGGTTCAGACCAAGTATCTACATATTTTGTGCCAATACCTTTTCTTTCCTGACAAAATTTTTATAACTAGATATTTACACTGACCTTTGCCAAGGGTCAAGAAGAGATAAGTGGATGTTTAACATGAACTCAGAGATCCTCTGCTCTCCTGCAAAGCTATTTAACAGTCCCTAGACACATTAGACATGTGCTTGTCACATGTCCATCTTATTCCTTTTGAGGGTCAGAACCAATCACATCCCTCATTAATATTCTCATTTAAACATTTGCCAAATGCCCTACATTGTCTTAGGTAAAGATCTACCAAAAAGTAAAAAGCTTTTGTTTTGAAGTCTATGTCTATTCATAAGGATGCTCTCATGCTCTCAATACTCTAACCTATCTTGACAACAGAATAAGCCAGAATCAGGACTTAACTTCATTCCAAAATAAATCTGCTTATTTGTTTATTTGTTTTCATTGTCTGAGATAGACTCTTACTTGCCTGGCCTGGAACTTGCTATGTATACAGACCAGGCGGGCCCTGAGCTCAGAGAGCTCCTTCTGCCTCTGCCTCCCAAGAGCTGGGATTTAAGGCAAGTGTCACCATGCTTGGCAAAAAGTAACATTTAGAGACAGAAAGGAATACATTATCAGAAGTGAAATAAATGAGGAGGATTAGAAAGTCAAGGACTTCATCATAGTGTATGCGTGGATCAAAGAAACCAAAGACAGGACATTCTGATGACAGGAGAGATGAGGAAAACAGGAATAGAGTAACTGGCATAGTGCTGCATCAAGGAAAACCATGGGTAAAATTTATGACAGTTTCCAAGCATACAAGCCATTGAAAAAGAAAAGGAATGTTGGAATTCACCTTGATAACTAGTTCTACTTCTGTGACAATATCATCTTTTTGGTTTTATTGTTGTTCCAGAGACCCAGCTGCTCAAGCAGACTGGCACTGTCCTATATTCCTATCAGAGAATGTTCATCTAGAATACTTTTATTTTCTGAAGACCTAAGCCTGGACCCAGTGTGTGCAGGGCCAGTGCTACTCCACTGAGCTACAGCCCAGACCTAATTAGATGTAGTTCATTTTAAAGTCAGGTGGTTCAGGAATGGGCACCACTACCATTTCCAGAAGGTTGCCTACTGTATGGTTGTGCCCCCTTTGTCATGGCTGCCTAAGACAACAAGACATCAAGTACTTGGATTAGTCAAGCCATCTCAGACTCATGACTATTCCAAAGGAGGAGCTTCTTCTCTGCTCAGTAGTCAAGCTCTTCTCTGCCTCCTTGAGTGGTTTTTTTTTTTTTATTTACTTATTTTTATTGCATATACAGTGTTCTGTCTGCATATTTGCCTACATACCAGAAGAGGGCGCCAGATCTCATGACAGATGGTTGTGAGCCACCATGTGGTTGCTGGGAATTGAACTCAGGATGTCTGGAAGAGTAGTCAATGCTCTTAACCTCTGAGCCACCTCTCCAGCCCTTGAGTGTTATTTAATAGCAATCACATAACAGATTAAGTGTAGGCAAATTCACTTTAACCACCGTGTTTAGCAGTAAATAAAATAGACTTAATTCTATTAGTACATCAACTTAGAGACTCCCTTGTTAATGACAGCATGAAGCATGTTGCTAACAGATATTAACAGAGAACTTATTGTCTTTATCCTTCCATTTCCAGTAGTCTTATGCTAAATCCCCCAGCACAAGTGAAGCTGAATAAGGACACCCTTGGGTTCTTTATTGCTGAATCCTCACAAGCTGTCAAAAGGTACTTCTCTTTCCAATTCATTTACGGAGAGGGCACACTAAACCAAGTAGACGGCATCAGCATCATGTCTCCCTGGTGTTAGCTGTTACTTACGTCATTCTTGATTTACTCTCCTTGTCTAGGGCCTTCTTTTATTGTTCCACCTGTCACTATGATGTGCACACCCCTGAGCTAATTGAAAAATGTGGCTGCAAAAACAGGAGCCAGCAACAGCTCACAGGTAATTACATATCATCTCTGTCCTTTGCCTGTTTTCTGGGGGTCTGGTCAAGGAAAGAGGCTGCCAGCACCGAGACCATTTGAACTTGGTCATAGCAAGGCATGTGCTTCCCATTGGGGATCCAAGCCCTGATAGCTGATCTTCCACAGTAAAACAACACCACCACCTTTGTGGTTGCCCAGTTCATCTCTCTTGCAGGCCAGCAGAATGAACTCCAAGGAGATTTAGTAATTGGTGACATAGCATCTTCAAACTCCACCTCATCCATGCTGACTTCCAGCCACTGAGCTTTCCCTATGACACACCAATTTCCCCAACTTCAGCCTGAAAACCCTCCCCATATGAACTGCTAGACTGGTAGATGTCCATGAAATTACTATCTTCTGCCTAATCCTTGAGCATTTTTTCCCTTGTGGACAGTGGGGAGCTTAGTCTGACATGGTGATATGAGAATGAAACTCTGTCTTTTGTCTAGTTGAACCCAATGCCTCACTAGTAACTCTTTCCACTTTAATGCAGGAAAAGAAAAAGTAACCCTAAATATCCATGATAAGTTTATCACATCTACTTTCACAGTTAGTCTTTTCCAGATACTTCCATAGTCTTTGGATAAAATTCCAGTATCTTAATGATCAGTTCCAAATATGGCTTTCCTGGAAAAAATACATATTATAGATTAAAATACTATCTCTCTCTCTTTTTCCCCCCTGATCTGATGTTTTCCCTTCATTTTATTAACCTACACAATTCTTGAGAGACGTTTTTCTCAGCAAAACGAATTATATGAAGTGAAACGGCATGCACTGGCTAGTTTCATGTCAAGACCCAAGCTAGAATCATCTGAGAGGCGTGAATCACTGATGAGAAATACCTCCATAAGACTGGCCTGTAGGCAGGTCTGTGGAGCACTGTCTTAATTATTGATTGATGTGGGAGGGCCCAGCACATGGAAGGTGGTGCCCAGGCATGAGTTAAACATGCTAACCCTGAAAGCACAGAGATAGGGTGTTGTCCCAAAAACATTATGCAAGAGAAATTTTATTTATAATGCAATGAAGCAAACTGGGCTCACCTGTAAATCTTAAATGTCTTTGTATATCTTTAAACAAGTTAATGTTTTTACAAGTGCTTTAGCTTTCTTATATGCATGGGTCTGTGTCTGTATGAGTATATGCCATGTGTGTGCAGGGGTCTGTGGAAGGCCAGAGGAGAGTGTCAGATCCCCTGGGAGCCAGTGTTACGGGTAGTTGTGAGGTACCTAATATGAGTGCTGGGAAGCAAACTTGGATTCCCTGGAGAACAGCACAAACTCTTACCCACAGAGCCTTCTGTCTCTCCAGACTCCTCATCTCTTTTCCCCCAATGATCACCTCATCCCCCAACTTTGTATTGTATTTTATCTCAGCTTAACAAGACAAAAGCCTTGAAAAATTAATCCTCACATTTAGCCAGCACAACTTTTTAGTGGTCAGAATTCATCCTAAAATATTTATATATGCATACATGTCTACCTGGACACACATACCTATATCTTAAAATTAGGCACATGTTAACAGCAATGATCAATAAGTTTTAGAAGATGTATAAGTGAAAGGGCTATGAGCTTTATTATTAAGATCTGTCTTGGGATGTAAAACAATATATAAAGCAATTATATTTAAACATTATCATGAATATCATCTCCTGGTCAGGAGATGAAAGGATAAATACTTACATGAAAATTATTTATGAGCATTTAACAGGATTCAAGGAAGTCTCCATGTGAGATTCCCAAGCAATTATGACAAGAGTGGGTATTTTGGGCAGTCCCAAACCACACAGTGGCTTTCAAGGCATGCTTGCAGGGACTCTGAGCCTGCTACACATTGCCTGGTTCCAGTGGCTCTCTTCAACCACAGCACAAGACTCCACAACTCCCTCAATCTCACTTCTTTCCTGAATACAAACCCAGTACCCTATGCAGGACCACAGTTGCATCAGCTTCTGTATACTGACTCTAGGGAATGGCTTTCCTAGCTGTTCCCTGGGGCCTTTCAAGCAAGTTAGCTTTGTTATACACTGGAGCCTTTGATGACAAGGGTCTTCAAGGCTTTCCTATTATCTCAGTGCAGACAAAGGAGGTTTCTCTAACAGTTGTAGCCTTTCTGGCATATGACCTGGCTGCAGCTTTAAATTTCTGCAGCTCTTTTCCTTGGCAGCGTACTTGTCTTTAACATCATTCTGTTCTGCATCTTCTCTTTCTTATTGTAGACCTACATGAGATCAGTGAGCAGTAACTTACATAGCCTGAATGCTCAATTCTCTTGACATTTCTTCCACCAAACAAATGAGACCCTTACTTAATTCAACTTCTCTCAAGTTTTCAGGACACAGGCAGCGAATGTAGCTTGAATTTTTTTTTTTTTTTTTGCTAGAATATCACATAAGTGGCCCTTGTTTTAGTCCCTTCTAAAGCCTGTGTTCCTTCTGAATCATGATCTGGCCTCCACTGTCCACATTTCTCTGCATTCTTGTCTTCTAGTCACCCACCAGAAGTTCCCATTAAGCTATATTTTCAGTATTCAAGGACTTTTTTGGCCCAAAGTTAAAAAAAATACCCACATTCTCCCCACCCACCCAAAACCCATTCCAAAGGTCTAAAACATGCATAATCAGATTTATCCTACCAATGACTCAACTTCTTGGTACCAGTTTTCCCTGTTAGTAACTTATTGCTGTGACAAAAGCAACAGAAGGGAGGAGGGAAGGCAGAAAGGAAGGAAGAGTTTATTTGGGGTCACCAGTCAAGGATACAGTTCATCATGGTGGGGATGTTTTGGCTTCGGGACCAGTGAGTTTGTAGTGAGGAAATAGATGATGGATGCTTACATTCAGCTTGCTTTCTCCTTTCTAATTACTCCACAACCCCAGCCCATGGATTAGGGACCACACACAGTTAAGGTAGGTCTTGCCATCTCAGTTAGCCTAATCTATATAATTCCTCACGTAAGTCTACAGCCATGTTTCTTAGGTGATTCTAGATTCTACTGAAATTAGGAAATTCAATTTTTCTCTTTTGAAACTCTTATAAAGCCATTTCTCGATGAAAAAAAAAGAAAAATATTAAAATGTTGGTCATAAATGGTGGGACCTTAATTTCTTTCAGTCTTCACAGGTTTAGGGTCTACTTATCTGTTTTTGAAGTTTAATTGTTGTCTTAGGGTTTTGTTGCTGTGAAGAGACACCATGACAACAGCAACTCTTATAAAAGAAACCATTTAACTGGGGCTGGCTTACAGTTCAGAGGTTTAGTCCATTATTGTCATTGTGGGAAGCATGGTAGCATGCAGGCAGACATGGTACTGGAGAAGGACTGAGAGTTCTACAACTGGATCTGCAGGCAGCAGGAAGAGAGAGTAACACTGGGCCTGTCTTGAGCCTTTGAAATCTCAAAGCCCAGCCCGAGTGACACACTTCCTCCAACATAGTCACAGCTACCCCAACAAAGCCACATCTAATAGTGCTACTCCCTGGTGGCCAAGCATTCAAATATATGAATTTATGGGGCATTCTTATTCAAACCACCACAATTGTTTATAATGAAAGCTTCCTTATGGTACCCACTGGAAAACTCTACTAAACTGTGTCATGATATTAATAATTTGCCTTGAAAGAGTGAAATCATGGATTGAAGAGATGACTCAGGGGTTAAGAGCACTTCCAGAGGTCCTGAGTTCAATTCCCAGCAACCACATGGTGGCTCACAACCATCTGTAATGAGATTTGATGCCCTCTTCTTGCCTGCAGGGATACATGCAGACAGAACACTGTATACATAATTAATAAATAAATCTTTTAAAAAAGCATGAAGCCATTCTGCCATTTCTGTCCTAAATTGTGAGAAAATTATTACTTGTATACTATAAGCATAGGAAGGCAAATAGACAGATAGATAGTTGGACAGAAAAGTAAGTAACAGAAATTAATAAAGTTGAACTGAATGTCAGGAGGAGATTGGCATGACTGAGTAACAGTATGTGTGTGCAGGAAGAAATAATGTTTCATGTATCACCTTACAGCATCTCAGTATTGGTCAACATGTACTGATTTCAAATATTCTTGCATTTTCCCTTATGAACATCTTTGAAAGTCACGGTGTGTTCATTCTCATTTTTGCAAAAGAGAAAGTTATTAATTTCTATGTTATTTCAATATGTGGAAATTCCTAAGAGGTTTGAGACATACCCTTGGCGATTCTTTAAAAGTCTAAATTAGTAATAATAGTACCCCCAAAGGGAAGATCAAATATAAGCTAGTGACTTCTGACAACAGTGAATTGGAGCCTGACCGGCATGTGCAGAAAGCATAGGGTTTCCAGGTCTGAAGGTAACTCCAGCTTCTGCCTCTTGGAAGACATGAGAAGGTGCAGAAGTGCCTCAGAGATATTTCCTTCCACATGCCAGATGGATTTGTATCCTCTGCAGTCTAATCCTATAGGGTAGTGGTCCTCAACCTTTGGGTTGCGACCCCCTTGGGGGTTGCATATCAGATATCCAGCATAGTAGATATTTATGATTCATAACAGCAGCAAAATTACAGTTACAAAGTAGCAACAAAAACAATTTTATGGTTGGGGTCACCAGGACATGAGAAACTGTATTAAAGGATTGCAGTATTAGGAAGGTTGAGAAGCACTGGTATGGATGGAAACTAAAGACTTTGGTATAATCCATCTTCTCAGAGTAGCAGTAGCTAAGGATTCCCAGACTCTTCCTAGACAATGGAAATGGTACAAAAGACCCTGCTAAGGAGGTCCAGCTGCTATATGACTCACTGGGGTTGCTGTAAGGAGACAACAGATGGCTTGTGACTCACTGGGGTTGCTGTGCACTTGCAGCACCAGACATCGTGGTGATGAAGAAGAACAGCAGTAAAACCAGCAGCAGTTCAGAAAATCAGGATCTTATTTCAAGAGAACAGGAAAGTTTGATCACCATCACAAGCCTTAAGAATAGGTAAGAACCACAGAATGGCAGCATCTTACGTCACTCAGCACTAAAAACTCGACTTAGATTAAAACATCTGGTTTATTGGCATCTCTACAGACCAATGGAATCACTGTTAACCACATACATTCATCCCTACTTTGGCCCCATAGCACATACTCTTTCCCACCATTGCTCAGATCTCTGTGCCACTAATAACACTGTGTATCCAATTTTCTTTCAGGTACTCTATGAATAAAAGAGCTAATTTTTAGCTAGCCCCAAATAGCTTTTGGTTATTAAAAATTGATAATGAGGTTGCCCTTTTTTCTTTTCTTTCCTTCCTTTTTTTTTGGGGGGGGTTGTTTTTTTGAGACAGGGTCTCCCTATGTAGCCCTGGCTGTCCTGGAACTTGCTCTGTAGATCAGGCTGGCCTCAAACTCTAAAGACCCACCTGCCTCTGCTGTAGTTAAAGGTGTGAGCCACTACACCCAGCTGAGATTGCCTAAGTTTTTGAATTTGCAAAATGGACCAAAGAATTCTCCCTACCCAGCTCTTTTTCCTCTCCAGTTCTTCAGTTTATTAAATTAAAATTATTACCTGGAGATGAAGATGCAGCTGAGTTGGTCAATTGCTCTAGCATGTACAAAACCTGGGCTTGGTTTCTAGCTCCACATAAAACTGGAACTGTTGGCATTCGCTTGTAATATAATCTCAGGACTTGCCTCTACAATGAATGTGAGCCAACCTGACTACATGAGACCCTGTCTCAAGAACAAAGGAAAAAAATTTACTAACCAGAAAGCATGGTGCAGATGATTTGCTTAGTTAATTCTAAAATACAAAACAAAACAAAATAGGCTAATCTAAAATATTTATCATTCCTAATTTTAATGAAAACATCTATGTAATATGTAAGCAATATTTCCATTTAGGAAGAAAATCTAGGAAGACTGAGAATTTTGATTACCTAGAGGTAAATATATTATCAATGGAACATAAACTGTTATGATGACATTATATAAAATGACAGTATGGCAGATATTTTTAATGATTGAATGACATTAACTATACAAGAACTTCACTAGTATAACCTTTATATAAAGCAGTATGAAAGTTTCTCAAAAAATATACATGTGTCTTGGGTTTTTTTTTTTTTTAAATTGCTGTCTAGAGACACCATGACTATAGTAACTCTTACAAAGAAAAGATTTAATTGACATGGCAGTTTATAGTTTCAGAGATTCAGTCCATTATCATCATGACAGGAAGCATGTCAGCATGCAGGATCAGAAGGTAGCAGGAAGTTGACTGACTGTCACACCGAGGGAAGTTTGAGAAAAGAGACCTCAAAGTCTGTTCACACAATGACACACTTTGCCAACAAAGCCACACCTCCTAATAGTGCTACTCTCTTTGGGGGCCATTTTCTTTCAAATCACCACAATATGTGATCCAATAATTCAATTTCTGAATATTTAGCTAAAGAGAATGAATTAATATATCTTAAAATGATTCACCCTTTGTTTGCAGCATTCATCACAATAGGTAAGCTGTGGGGTCTGTGATAAAAGATGGAAGGACAAAGAAAATGTGGCATATATCTTTATATATCTACACTAAAATAGATTCATACATTTTCATGTTTCTTTTGTTTGGCTGGTTTTGGTTTTTGTTTTTTGTGATGGGGTTTCATTATGTAGCTTTGACTCTCCTGGAACTCAGTATGTAGACCAGAGTGACCCTGAGTTCATAGAGATCTGCTTGCCTCTGCTCCCCTGAAGTGCAGCAATTAAAGGTGTATGCCACACACCCAGGGAGCTTCACATTTTATAAAGAAGGCAATCCTGCCCTTTTGGGGGGAAATGGAGGTACCTCAAGGAGGTGTGGTGTGAAGAAAGTCAAGGGCAGAGCAACGAATGCTCACATACACATCAAACCTAAAGCAGACCTCATGGAAAACCAGAAGATGTTTGCCAGCCATTGGACTATGGCAGAATAAGGAGGTACTGGCCAAGTGTACAACAGTAACAAGAAAACAGCACATAAGTACAATTCTCACTAAATATTCCTTAGTGTTGTATACTTGGTGGTTTTATGAGTCAACTTGACACAAACAAGAGTCATCAAAGGAAGGAGCCTCAACTGAGGAACTGCCTCCTTGAGATCCAGCTGTAAGGCACTTTCTCGTTTAGTTATCAATGGTGGAGGGCGCAACCCATGGCGGGTGGTTTTATCCCTGAGCTGGTGGTCTTGGGTTTTATAAGAAGCTGGGCTGAACAAGCCATGGGAAGCAAGCCAGTAAGCAGCTCCCCACATGGCCTCTGAATCAGCTCCTTCTTCTAGGATTCTGCCCTGTTTTAGTTGCTGTCCTGACTTCCTTCAGTGATGAACAGCAGTGTTGAAGTGTAAGGCAACCTGCTGTTTGATCACGGTGTTTTGCTGCAGCAATAGAAATCCTGAGTAAGACATGTTATAAGACATTGTTTTCCTTTGTGGTACCAGGGATGGAACCCAGGGTCTTGTGTGCTTTACCACTTAGCTATATTCCTGGCCCCGTTTTAAGAAACACATTTGAGACAGTTTCTCACTAAGTTCTCCTGGCTGGTGTTGGCCTCATAGTCCTAATACCTTAGACTCTCAAGTAGCTGGGATTACTGGCTTGTGTCATCAGACTTGGTGTAGTTTTATATTTGGGAAAATATGTGAATGAGTCTGAATGAGTAATAAGGTGGGGCAAGGTTTCATATGCTTCAGATGCCAAAAGATGTCATCTTCTAAGAGAAATTCAAGGCAGTGGGAACTTTCTTGCCTTCTAGTCTATGCTTTTTCTGAAACTGGATTATATAACCAATGAGAAAGGGCTGGGGTTAGATGAAGGAAAGGTACTGGGACATTTCTGGCATTCAGGTTTGATATTACTGTTTCCAACAACCAGACAGCTACAGAATACCATTTGGATGTGGGTATTTCACTCTTTAAAGATAGTTGGTAAATAGGTGTTTGTAGAGAACTATCTGTGATATGTAGGCATCATGTCTGGATATAGAAAGCACACTATAAGCAACACCCTTGGATAAACAAGATGTAGGAATAAATCAAAGGTCAAGTGAGAAAGCATCTCCTCAGGTCTCACTGAAGGGTCCAGCAGAAAAGTCATAGGAAGACATTGCATGGAGTTCTCCAGAAAGTGTCATGTGAGAAGAGGGGTTTGAAAAGGTGGGAAGAACGTGATATGGACAAGCCCAGGAGAAATGTGGTGCCTCTGTGCATCAGATAGCCATCCCAACCAGAGTGTTGTGAGAAATGACATCCCTGATCTCTCAAGAGCACATTCTTGGCTTTTGGTATTATGCCTACATGTGCATGACAGCATACACCATGGTTACATTCCTGCTAAAAGGCATGATTTACACTTGAGAAGACCACATATGTGATGGTGCATAGTGAGATGCAGCCATGACTGGGCCTTCATGGATTCTTTTCTGGGTTCTATGAAAAAGGGTTGACTTGCTATGGGCAAGCCAGATCCACAGAAAACCCCTAAGTGTAGTTTTAGCCATTTGGTTTCACCAGCTCTCCCCATTCTTAAATATAGCTGTGAAAACAAATAACTCTGTGTTGTCGTAGTAGCTCCCTGAACGATTGACTCTCCCTTCTGTCTGCTCAGGAACATGGTAAATGACACAGTGGATGATGATGAGCAGCTGGACAGCAATGGCATGTTTCACTGGTGCAAATCAACGCCCTTGGACAAGGTGGTTCTGGTAGGTGACCACACCAGGGTGAGGAATGACCTGCGAGTCACAAGAAGCACTAGCTGCTCTGTAAACCACAAGTTTGGAATGAAAGATACATTAGCCATACACATCGCAGGCCATGAGCCATATGGCATGTAACAAAGACTGTGGGCAACATGCTGGGATTTAAAATGTAGGTGACATCACCTATGAGCTCCTTCTCTGAGCAGCTTATCTGAATAATCCTCCTCAACAATGCTTTCCAGAGACCTAACAGACCTAAAGCTGCCAGATAAACGATCTACAAGAACTCTGCATTCTTTTCTTTTAAAATAAAGATGTCCCTAATTTATTGGTTAAAATTTGACTCCCTTATGCTTCCATTTAACACATTAAGAAAGGTATCTGTTAACCAAGTCTTGTAGACATTATAGTTCTGTCCCTTCCTCTTCTCTCAAGCAGATAATTTTCCCATCTATGACCATTTAATAATAACAAATATTTTCTTGCTTTTCAAAAGCATTTTAGTACACATATCATTCCTCTTATACCCTACCTTTGGGTTCAGTGCCAGTTAGTATCCTGACAGAATATGTTCCAATATTTATAAAACACGACCATTCTTTTGATCAGCATCATTAATTTCTCAGAGCTGGTGTATCAGCTAGGAGACATATCAGCTTACAAACAACTGTTTCAGGGTTTCTGCCCATGCGAGATAAATATCCGCTGAGCAGGAAGGCAAGTGTGTTTTCAGCGGGAAGCAGATCTTAAGAAACGCTGGACCCAGACTGACACACTCAAGACAGGCAAAGAGGGCATTGGGAGAGAGGGGTTTGTTAGATTGAGTTTCTTAAGCATGCAAAGAAGTCTTGGAACTTCCCTTAAAATACTGGTTGTAGAATGTCTGTAGCTCAAAGTGAACATTGAGTCACTTGTTGAATTAAGAAGGTGCTCTGGTTTTTATAATGCTTAGGGTTTTGAAATTTTTGTCCTCAGGAATGAAAAGTCCAGATTTCAGAAACTCAGAGCCTTTGAACTTGATTTTGCTTGCAGAAGGATGCTCACTTTGCTCTACTTTGAACAAAGGGCACTCTGTGAAGCCACCATTTTTCTTAAGTGAGAGATAGGTTTTACCATAGTGGGCTGGAGGAAATGGCTTCCCTAGCTGTGTTCACAGATGCGTTCTGCCACGGATATTGTTTCTAACATCTCAGCAGAGCAACTATTAGACTGTAGGGATGTTGCATGAGATTTACTTAGAGGCTTCGAGTTAAAACTGATCAGATTAAATAGACAACCATTTAATGATTTTGTTAGCACGTGTTGCCAGTCTCTAAGCAGTTCTGGAGAAAAGTAGTTTTATATCCCACAGAAGGTAATCCCTGAAGAGTCTTCTCCAGTGATTTCATCAAATAAGCAGCTGTGGCAAGTGTTAATTCTTATTATTATGTATGTCCATTTGAAATATTCTAATTTTTATGGATATAGGCTGTAGAGCTCACTCCTGTGAAATGTAAATACTTGTAACTATCTCTACCAGCATTCCTGTGTCCTCCTTTAACATTCTCAAGTCTTTGGGTGGGGTGTAGTGGTGCACACCTTTAACCCCAGCACTTAAGAAAACTAACAGGCAGATCTCTGTGAATCGGAGGCCATCTTGGTCTATATAATGAGTTCTAGGTCAGCCAAGGCTACACCATAAGATCTTATCTCAATACACACACACACTACATGACAGCTATATATAAGTTCCATTTTTGTATGAGCAGTTGAACGATTGTATTAGTACTATAAAAGTACTGCTTGGGAGACATCTAGAGAGTTGGGGGAGGGGCTCATCTCAGAACTCTTAACTATTTGTGAAACTGACCTGAGTCTGGCATTATCTCCTTAGAAACGAACTGACAAGCCAAAACATGAGTTTCGGAACCACATTGTAGCATGTGTGTTTGGAGATGCCCACTCAGCCCTGGTGGGGCTTCGGAACTTTGTGATGCCTTTGAGAGCCAGCAACTATACCCGGCATGAGCTGAAGGACATTGTGTTTATCGGGGCTCTGGAATACTTCCAGAGAGAATGGCGATTTCTCCGGAACTTTCCCCAGATATACATCATGCCTGTAAGCATTACATGAGGACAATAATGTGGTACTAGATTTGTAACAATAGTGATGATAGTTATAGTTTGCAGTTGCAAGGCACCTGATGTGTGACAGAGATCAGCTAAACAGTTTGCCTGTATTACTTCATTTACTCCTCTAAATAATCATATGGGGTAGGCTATAAAAATGCTGAACCATAGGTGGATGAACAGTGGGTTTCCAAGTAGGTAGCTTGTCTAAGATCACAGAACAGGTGAGTGGAAAGAGTAAGATTTAAATCCAGACATTAAGGCTCCTGAGTTTGTATTCAGACCAGTATATTATATGGGCTGTGCACAAATGAGAATTTTTCTGTGTTTTCCAGTCTGCTCCTCCCTTACTAATTAAACCTAAGCTGGTGCTGGCTGGGCCTTTGGGCTCTGGCTTTCTCGTCTTTTCTGGTCACATCTTCCATGGAACACACAGCCACTCATGGGCCCTCACAGGGAGGATATGGGGAGGAGGGGCTCCATCTACCCTGCTGAAATGGACCTGTGGCTGAAATGCCATTTTTCCATTGTGACTGTGCTGAGAGGTGGGACCTAGAGGAAGTGATCAGGCATGAGGACTCTGCTCCAGTGAATGTTAATGCTGTTACCATGAGAACAGGGCTAGCTACTCTGGGAGTGGGTTCCTGATGAAAGGGGAAGTTCATCTCATGCTCTATCCAGTGTGTGTACTCTTGCCAGGTCCCCATCCCTCCACCACACTAAGATGCAGCAGGAAGGTCTTCATAGATATGCCCCTTCACTCCTGGATTCCCTAAACTGTAGAATTTTGGGAAATGAATTTTTTTTCTTCATAAAGTATCCAGTCTGTGGCATTCTGTTACAGAAGCAGAACAGGTTAAGACACAATACAGTGTGTGTAGCATTCTAGCTGACATTTTATTTACATTTAACTTTCATAGGTTTATACTCCATACTATGCTACCATTTTCTTGGATGAAAAGCCCATTATATGCACTGTGAAATGCACCAAAGCACTTGAATATTTAATGAAATAATACTGACAGTGTGTAAGAGCTATTGATTCTCTAAAAAGCAAATTGAATTTGCTGTTCTTTAAAAAGCCACCATGAAGCCCTCTGTGCCTCATCTTCCCTGCTTCACTCTACACAGCAGGAGAGAAGACCTTTTGCACTCCCCAGGCTTAGCTGGTGTTGGGAATACTCAATGTTAAGCCCTTCCACAGGGTATTTCTGTGATAGACCTGACCAAGTTTTGGATAGGATTGTGGAAGGGCCTTGGAGCTTTGGGCTGGAGAAGCCATGGAGTGTTGAGAGCTTAATGAATTGTTGTTTGAACTTTGAAGATGATGCCGAGAGCAGTGCAGACAGTGGAGGCTTGTGGATTTCAGAAGGAAATGTGGAGAGTCCCTTAAAGACTCAGTGAGCACTGTTTAATACCTTGAGCTTCAAGAATCTGTGGTTCTGGTCAGGTGGGGATGAAGAATGGGCTGTGGTTAGGAGGAGATTTGAACCGATAAGGTGAGACTTTTGCTTTATTATTAGGACAATTGATGCTGATTTGCTGGCGGTAAGAAATGAGTGGTGGTTAAGAAGACACCAGCATCATTGAGGATCCTAAGTCTGGGAAGGCTTCCTTAGGCTCAGCATGTAGAAGCTGAGGAGCTCAAGGCTGCACCTTATGCTGGCAGCTGAACTTGGTAATGTGAAAGCGCCTCCTTCATGGCACTGGTTTGGAGGTGTCAAGGAGTCATGGAGAGCACCTGATAGTTGACACTGGGAGAGGCCAGGAGAGGCTGTTAGTGAAGGTGATAACCTCGGTTGAAGCAGAAGATTCAGGATTGAAGGGGTAAGAGAGAAAGGTGAGCCTGTGAGAGGCTCTTGGCAGAAGTGCAACCCAGTTGCCATAGGAGATTCCAGAGTGGAAATTCTATTACCCGGGATAGCAACCAAGTACAAGAGCAGCTGAGGTATGGAGCTGGCCTGAGCCTATGCGATGCGCTGTGTGCTCTCGCAGGCACTTTGGAGCCTACAATATTGTGATTGACTCCCAGAAGTCTGAGACTGAAATGTATACTGTTAGACTTTGTTTTATTTTGATCTGAGTCTATATCATGATTCTTCTTGGAGTAAGAAAGTACTTAACTTTTTTATTTCATAGGGTTAAGAGACTTTTGATAATTTAGAAAGATTTTACATATTTTGAAGAGGCTTTGAGCATTGCTAGAAACTATAGATTTTTAAAAAAGAGACTGAAATTTTTTTGAAGACTGTGGGACTTTAAAATTTATTTATGTTTTATGTTCGACACTAATATGAGATTGTGGAGATCAACAAAAAAGGAAAGGTTATGGGTTAAAAAATGAGGTGTCTGTGTGTCAAATTGACAAGGGATCAGTTGTGCTGGCTAGTTTTATATCATCTTCACACAAGCTAGAGTCGTTTGGGAAGAGGGGACCTCAACTGAGAAAAAACCCACCAGATTGGCCCGTGGTACATTTTTTTTTTTTTTTTTGGTTGATAATTGATAATGGTAGGGCACAAGTCACTGTGGGTAGTACTACCCCTGAGCTGGTACTTCTGGGTACTATTAAAAAAAAAAAAAAAAAAAAGCTGGTTGTGTAAGCCCTGAGGAGTAAACCAATAAGAAGCACTCCTCCATGGCCTCTGCTGCTGTTCCAGCCTCTGGGTTCCTGCTCTACCTTAGTTCCTGCCTTGACTTCCCTCTATGATGAACTGTGATGTGTAAGTTTAAGCTGAATTAAAACCTTTCCTCCCCAGGTTGCTTTTGGTCATGGTGTTTCACCATAGCAATAGAAATGCTAACTAGGACACACCCCAAACTTCCTAAAGGTGGGGTTACATTACCAGCTATTTGAAGAACACAAGTGGGGTGAGAGAGATGTAGAATTAACCTCTAGCTCCATGATGCCTCCTTTCTTTGACTTTTTCATCACCATGGTTACCTTTTGCTTTCTTTTCTCTTAAGTTATCAAAATGGATTTTTGCTCCCCTTCACTCCCCTTTGTCTCATCCAAACTTTTCTCTGAGAGGGATCTGTGAAGCCAGTTCATAGTAAGATATTAACTATTGATCAGGACAATGTATCAGACAACTGATAATGACATGTTAGTCAAGTCAGTAGAGGCGTTAGCTAAAAACCTGCACACAGGCCACCATGAATTGTGATCTCATACCCTCCCATCTGAAGATCCCTTCACAACGTGGAATTCTCTCCCCAGGGATCCGCACTCTACACTGGAGATCTGCATGCAGTCAACATAGAGCAGTGCTCTATGTGTGCTATCTTAGCCTCCCCGTCCAAGCCACTGAGCAGCCAGATTCTGGTGGACACTGAGACTATCATGGCCACCCTCAACATCCAATCCCTCCGGGTCAGCTACCCTATCCAGACGCCTCCTGTGCCAGGTCAGAACAATCCCGTACGGGACGAGCCTGGGGAGGGTGGGGTGAGGAAGTTAATGAAATTCTCCCCAAGCAACTTTTCTATGAAGAGGGAGGAGAACTGGGACAGATGTCACAGTTTTTCTGGCTCTGACAATATTACGGTAGGAACAACCCAGCTATTTCCTCTGGAATTCTAAGTCATATGAAAACACATATCCACCTTCAAGGTAGAATTCATATACACTGGTTCTCCATTTTAAAGAGAAAAGCACTGAAATGTAAGAAGCCTTATTTTGCTTCTAACATTGGAAAGCATAACAACTTCAGTATTATGACAAGAGATATTAATCAATTCTCATTGACTCTTACAGATGTTATTCAGTTATTGTTTTAAAACATTAACTTATTTTATAGAATAGAAAGATTTTAAAAATTGATTCTATTTTTTTTTTTTTTTTGAGACAGGGTCGCAACTGTGTCCTGGAACACACTATGTAGACCAGGGTGGCTTTGAACTCACAGAGATACACCTGACACTGCCTCCTAAGTGCTGAGGTTAAAGGTGTGTCCATCACACTCAGCCAAACGTCGTTTTGTTTGGTTTTTGGTGTTTTTTCTTTTTTATAGCTAGTGATTTTCTACCTTTTATTAATTCAGCAGAAAGATGCCAATGTTCTCTGATGTATTAGGTTCTCTATCAGGGCTGGAGGTTGGCCCATGATGCATCAATTGATGGCAGACAGTCTTCATTGTATTTCTCTAGGTCAGTGGTGACAGTTTTGGTTGTCATAACTGGAGAGATGCTGCCATCTCTTGGTAAGGTCACACATGCTGTCTGTTCAACAGCTTTCAGTGCACAGGGCAGCTCCACACTAAAGGTCAGCCTGAGAGATTGAGACTTGCCTAAGGATCCCAAGAGCACCTCCTGCACCTGTCTGTGGGAAGCGTGAAGGGTTTTCAGTCATGCTGATTGCTATCTGGCCATACTGCAAGGACAAAGTTGGCAAACCTAGACAGTGCAGGCCTCTGGTTGTTACCTCCTCCACATCATTCTTCACAGGCTCCCAAGGTGTTCCAGGTAGAGGCAGAGTTCTCAGAGTGGGGTGCCGCTTGGTTATGAGGAACAGAAAGAAGACACAAGCCATATACTCTAGAGGACCTTGAAGTGGCAGATAGTATTAGGGGACAGAAGCCCATTGCAGGGTCTCCAGAAGCACACATGAAACAGTAGCAGTGACTCATTAGTAGTTTCCTAGAAGCGCTACAAATGGCTCAGATATTACTTAAAACACTACTACTCAGAAACTTTTGTGACACATGCACACATACACACAACACACATGTGCACACACACACATACACACCATGTACCATCCCTTAAAAGAGTAGACATTAAATACAGTCAACCTCCTGTACTGTGGCTTCTGCATCTGTGGATTCATTTCCAACCACACACAGAAGGTATTCCAGCGGAAATGCCATCTATATCAAACAGCTAAACATTTACAGACCTTACATCATTGTTTTGTAAACATTATTATAGTCATTATTACATTGTATTAGGTATTATCAGCCATATGAGGTATGGTAAGGTATTTGAGAGAATGTACATCAGTGATACACAAATAACTGGCTTTTTCAGAGGAAGGTCTTGAGTTTCCAAGGATTGGAACTTACAGGGACTCAGCTCCCTGTAGATATCAAGGGACAAATATAATAGGTTTTTTTTTTTTTTTTTTTTCTAAATACAGAAATGAACTTGAGCTATGGACCAGAAAGAAATTTTGTTGAGCTAAAACATTGGGTCATGTAGTGTTACTGTATTTTCAGCCAAGTTTTACAAGCTGTTTATTTGTTCTTGTCATCTCTTTATTGTCTGTAGAAGCAAGTACTACATCTCCCTTCAATAAATATAGTCAAAGAAGATACCAGCAGATCCCCGTTCTCACTGAACTGAGTAAGTTGCCTTGTAAGTGGAATATTCAAGGGAGTTTTATTGTGCATAGTTGACACCTCAAGTTCCTTCTAGAATCCACAGTCAGAGGACTAAGGAAACAGAATAGTTTCCAGAAATCTTTTGGAGCTATTTGAGGCTTTTCCTAACAGGAGAAGCCTGTTTCAAGCATCTGAACCAGCACCTGGCAGTCTACTTGCAACCACCTTGAATCTTAGATGACTGCAAGTTTAATGTATGTCTTAACTGTTTCTTCCCTTTAATCATCTCTGACTCTCAAGATTAAGTATATAATTAGAAGAAATGGCAAATTAAAGTGGTGGGGAGGACATAAGGCATATTCTAGCACTCGGCAGGAACGGCAGGCTTTGTTCAGCCAAAGCCCTTCTGGAAACAGACACCCAGTGTCACATTAACTTACAAGTTACCTGCTGCAGCCTCAGTCTTTGCTCTTGGGAGTCCAGCTCCCAGAATTGCACCCAGGGTTGCAGCGGGGACTTAGGAAAATGTCCTGTCTACCCAAAGAAAAAGTCTCACATACATAATCTGAGGGTCATGGGCTTTTTATTTCCAGCTCTTCATCTAGCTCCACTTCTCTAGCTCCTTTGTTCACCGTGTGTGTGTGTGTGTGTGTTCAACAACAAACTCCTTTCAATTAAAAAGGTCACAAAAGCTACATCTGAGGGGAGAGAGTAGCCAGGGCAATGCCTGGTTTCAAGGTTCTTGGTGTACAGGCTGTGACCTGAGATGGGAGTGGGGGGTAGGTAGGAAGGGCATAGTGCCTGGTGAGACAAGCAGCTGAGGAATTTGCACAGGAAGTAGTAGGTCTTTATCAGCCAGACTTGGCAAGAGAAACTCACATAGTATTTTAGGTTGCTTTGTGCTAATAACCTTGGATCAGACACCTGTAACTCTGTCATGCACATCTGCAAAGCTGTTAACCTGTGATCCATTTACAGGAGACATTCCATCTAGTCTGAAATTATTTTGAGGCTATAAATCAGTTAAATGTATGTAGCTTTTTTTAGACTGGGGAGAAATTGTTGTTTTCCTATGTTAGTCTGAGTCAAAAAAAAAAAAAAATAGCCAGGTGGTGGTGGCTTACACCTTTAATCCCAGCACTCAGGAGGCAGAGGCAGGTGGATCTCTGAGTTTAAGACCAGCTGGTCTGTAAAGCTATACAGAGAAACCCTGCCCCCCTCAAAAAAAAAAACCCAAAGAAACAAAACAGGCTTCTGAGTGTCTTATAGTACTCATGGAACAATAGATCTAGTTATGAACCCAGGTCCTCTGGAAGAGCAGCCAGTGCTCTTAACTGCTGAGCCATTTTTTCAGCGCCATGGCTTTTTTTTTTTTTTAAACATAAATTCTAGGCTCCAACAGCTCTTCCTGCATGTGTGGCAAGCACTTTACTGGCTAGCTAGACAGAGTGACACAAAGCCCATGGGGCATTCTCCCTGGTAGAGCTCTGTTGGGCCAGAGAGAATTGAGTTTAGGAATGCAGGCAGTGCTCTTCCATTTTTCCAAGTGTGCTGGCCTTGCCTTTTCATCTTGTCTTACAGAGAATCCCTCCAACATCCACTTCATTGAGCAGATTGGAGAACTGGATGGGACACTCAAAGGAACGAGCCTGCATCTCAGTACTTCTTTCTCCATGGGCACAGTTTTTTCAGGCAACTTCTTGTATTCTCTTCTGGCCACGGTAGGTACAGATGAGCCAAAGTTCCCCAGAGCAAGCCCCACAGAGAGGGACCACTACTCCACCTTTTTAATTTCCTAAAAAGGCATTTTTTCATCTTTTCAAATTTTCACATTTTCAAGATTACAACCTTGCAGTCCTGGAAGGGGATCCCAAATGCCTGGGGGAATGGACACCAAACTTGGATCTTTGCATTCAGCTGGACAGACCAAGTGTCAGCTCTGTAGTTCCTATAGGCATCACCATAAGGGGACCCAGGACTTTCAAGAGGAAAGGCTTAGTCTTGGGAGGAGCATGTGGTTTGTTCAGATCAAAGCCAAATCTCCCTCTGTATTTCTCCTCTCTTGGGATCCATTTTAAGTTCCTGGTGATGGTTCAGTGGTTCTTTGGCTGTAAGCAGACCCCTGGCATCCATCATAGGATTCCCACAAGCAGAATCCACTCTGAAATAGTGAACACCTACACTGTGCTGGTCACTGTACTGGGGCACAGCAGAGACACTTAAACATGGATAACTAGCAACAGGAAGAATGCATACAGGGCAAAGGTCAGGGGAGACAGGAGAATATGAAGCTTGGGGGAAGGGGTTTCAATTATGACCAGGGGAAGGGATTCTGAGGGGGATGCTTGCAAGCCATTACCTGGAAGAGAGTGGATGCCACTGAGAGTCTTTAGGAAGAATGTCCCAAACAGGAATAAGGTGCCTAATTTGAACTTGCCTAAGACCCAAATAATCTGTGTGCAGCCATTTGTGAATGACTGTAGGAACCCCTGAAGGGAAATCATGCAATCCACTGCCCAGACTTCTCCCACTGAGGGTTTTTCAAGAGATGGTTGCAAAAAAAAGACCAAATATCAATGTGCAAATCCAAATGCACAAGGCTCTGAGGAAAGCTTGGTTAGCATTCTGCTTTCTGTAATTCCATGTAGAGAAGGAAGGCATCATTCCTGAACTGTGTGGTTGCCTCAAAGACAGTCAGCACATTAGCAGAGCATGGTTTCCCATAGTCACAGTGAATATCTCATAAACCCTACTGAGCTCTCAGACAAATAGCTCTACCTTACCACTAGAACACTGCTAAAAGAGCTGGCAGGTCACTACGTTACTGAAGGGTAAGCAACATTAATCTCTGGCCACGCCAGGGATGTTTGCATGGAAGGGAATCAAGTCAGCTACTTTTCTGAGGTGACTCTTAATACTGTGCTGGAGCTGAGCTTTCCAGGGTTAGGAGGCTGTTTGGTGAGGGGAGCCAGACAAACAGGAAAGGCATCGGAACCAAAAATGCACAAACTGCAACATAACATAGGAGAGCAAGGCAGCATGAAGCCTCTGAAACATCAGAATTCATCGACTGCGGAACTCCAACATTCAAATGGGTAAAAGTCCAGGTGAGAACTAGGTCAGTGACTCTAAGGAGGACACAAATAACAGATGAATCCAACCTTAGGCCCTTGAGAGTGAAGCAACATGGAGACCAGAGCCAGAAAGATGAACAAAAAGTCAGCCAGATGAAAGAAAATTTAATAAGAAAAGTTACACTTTTAAAGAAAAACCCAATAGAAATGTGGGAAGTGAAAAAAAATATTAGGGCTGGGTGGTGATGGCGCACACCTTTAATCCCAGCACTGGGGAGGCAGAGATAGGTAGATGGATCTCTGTGAGTTTGAGGCCAGCCTCATGTGCAGAGTAAGTACCAGGACAGGCTCCAAAGCTACACAGAGAGACACTGTCTTGAAAAAACAAAACAAAAACCCAAAATTAAAAAAAAAAAAAAAAAGGAAAGAAAAAAAAAGTACACCAAAGAGTATCACCAAGAATTCTTTTTTTTTTTTTTTGAGACTAGTAGCTTATTTATTTTTATATTTTTAGTTTATAAGTAAATTAAATAATCTACCCTTTAAAATAACCCCCAATCCTTTTTGGAAAAAGATCCCCGAATATGACCTACTTTGTTAAGTTACCTCCCTGACAATGACCACTTGCAACTTGCAACCAACACCCATAAAACAATGACAAATATTCACTGAATAACCAGAAAATATCCACTGCACCTCTTGGGAATGTGGGTGTCGTGTTCACCAGACAGCTTTCTGTAGTGCATCGCCAAGAATTCTAAAATCCCCAGGCATCAGGGAAATGAGGATTAAACTGCTTTGAGATTCTCTCACCCCAGGCAGAATGGCCACCAAAGCACATGACAACAACGGCTGACCACGATGATAATGAACTAACCTCTGAAACTGTAAGCAAGCCCACAATTAAATGCTTTCTTTTATAAGAGTTGCCTTGGTCACGGTGTCTCTTCATAGCAACAGATCAGTGACTAATACACCAAAGATTCTAAAAATCTACTTATTTATCTGGCACTTATAATTGTTACTGTGGTGGAAAGAACTATGGGAGCCCTGTGCATTTATGAGTGACATCACTGTCATTATTCAAAGGATTGTAAGTAAATTCACATTCCCAAAACTCAGGAATAGATGACAAAAATGTCAGTGTGACCTCAAGGAAAAAAAAATCTATCTCATTAATTATATATACTTTTAAAAATGTACATTGATGATGCTTAGGGTATTGTGGCTTGACACACTACTCTGGTCACTTATGGGAGGGAGAGGGTTCTGGGATATCAGCACTGTTATTCACTTTTCAGTGTCTGCACTATAAGAACAAGACCTCACGTTTTTTTTTTTTTTTTCTTTTTCTTTTTCTTTTTTTTTTTTTTTTTTCTCCTTGCTTTCACTAACCCAGAGCTCTACCCAAGTGCCAACTTGCACCCAATTTGATAGTGGCAAAATAACCCAGCATCACGTGGTGATGCCTACTTAATCTCTGTGTTCCAACTCCTTTACCATTCATGCACTGGCCCTTCTGACTTCACACTTGCTTTTGTTTTCCAGGCCTTCTACAACTATCATGTCCTGGAATTACTTCAGATGTTGGTGACAGGAGGTATCAGTGCTCAGATGGAACAGTGTTTGATTAAGGAGAAGTACTATGGGATACATGAAGGCTGTGCCACAGTCTTGTCTGGGAGGGCACGGTGTAAGCTGGGACTTCTCTCTTTAGACCAAACCATTCTATCAGACATTAAGGTGAGTCTACTGTTACTATAATGCATTTCCTACTTCTTTAACTCTCTGGTCTAGGCTGCTTTGGATCATAGATGACTTAACACAGAAATAATAACTAGTAAAAACTAATGCAATACAGTGTTACAGCTACAGTGTCTCTGCACAGTACATTTTCTTCCTTCCTTTCTTTCTTTCTTTCTTTTGGTTTTGAGACAGGGTTTCTCTGTATTGCTTTTGGTGCACAGTACATTTTCATCAGTTGTGTTTATTCTTTGCAACAATCTCAAGAGGTAGAGAAAGAAACTGTTTTCTCCTTCCTTCAGCTAAATCTGCAAGCAACATCAGAGAGGCTCAACACTATATCTGAAAGTGTCCCCTATAGATCTTGTTTTGGAAACTCAGTCCCTAATGCAACAGTGTTGAAGGTCGAGCCATTAAAAGATTGATGGGGTATGATGAACTAAATGTCACTAGCAGGAGTAGGGTTATCAATAGAAGGATGGGCTTGGCCTCCTCCCATCTCGTTTACACATGGCCTCTCTTGCCCTTTCACTTTGTCATACGACAGTAAGGTTGTTGTCATTTGTAGTCCCCTTGACCTCAATCTTCCAAGAAGCCCTAAATCTCCTCTGTATCTATTTCAGTCCTTTGTGTTTAATCTGTCCAAGGATGACATGAGTTAAGTAACTAAACCCATTTAACAGATCAAAGAACTGAGGCTCATCTGAGGCCACTACAGTTTCAACCATATTATAGCAGTGGACAAGCTAAGGAATGTGTTCCAAGTTCTTACTATTGCCTCAGTGCCTGCAATGCTACAGAATTCTGGTCAGGCCCATCTGTAGTCAGGCAGAACTCTGGATCTGGGTCTAACAATGTCACTGGTTCACAGAATATGCTGACACTTTCTTGGCCCAGAGAGCAGGAAAAGGCAGACTATAACAAGATAACACTGTGCGTGGGCATCTTCCAGTGGGGCATCATTCCTTAGGAGCTGGAGTAGAGTGCACTCTGGTCACAAGCCATCTACTTCTCAGTATTGTGCTTTTTATTTTTATTTTGATTGAAATCCCCCTGTTCAGTGTTATAGTGAGGATGCACATGAACAAGGAGACACCTTTGTAAAGTCAGTAGATATCAGCAGGGCCCTTCAAAGGCATTGCTCTGTAGACCTCTGTGCTGCACATGGCTCAACACATACTGCCCAACTGAGCAGGACCTGTGTATTCTGTGCTTGTGAATTCCAGGTGCAAATATCATCTGCATGTATGTGATTCTGGGACCCTCACCTGCAGTTGCCTAGAAAGGGATAAGCCCAGAAAGCTGCTATGAGCACCTACTGTGGATCTCCCAGGCAACAGCAGGTTGTCCTGCGTTTCTGTCCTCAATTTGATCTTTCCCTAAGGAAGCAAATAACTGAGCAGCTGTTGACCTCATCTTTCCAGATGCTTCTAACCTATCTGCCAGTGCCTTTGAACTGTGACCTTATTGACCATAGCTCTAGAGCAGGAATGCTTGAGATCCTCTAAAGTTTACCCTAAAACTGAATTTTTGAACCTGTTCCTCATGATTAATTTTGAACCTGCTGCTCATCTTAATGGTGGCCAAAACTAGCACAGTAAAGGAATGCAAGAGAATGTGCCACACTACACCCACCACAAGCTCTTGAGGGAACCAGAACGATAAAGGGTAACTAATCACAAACTTCTCTGACAGTCCACTTTTCACTGCCATCATAAGCACATGAAGGGCTGGTAGGTCTCCTAGGTGTCTGCAGCAAAGAGCCAGCAAACAACACTCAAGTAAGTTCTTACGACTGTGCTTACAAAGCCCTCTTGCTCTGCTCTCTTCCCAGCCAAGAACCACCTTTGGACAACTCTTCTGTGGCTCATTAGATAATTATGGGATCCTATGTGTTGGCTTATACCGTATGATGGATGACGAGGAGTGCAACCCAGAACAAAAAAGGGGAGTATGCTGATTTGGAAAGTGCTAGCTACCTTTTAAGTGTGAGAACCAAGGCCAAGTCCAGAGCTCCAGACCAGTTATTGTACAGCAGGAAGCAGGGGGCTAGATACTGATGTAAGAATATGGAAGACAAAAAAAAAAAAAAAACATAAGACTGGGTCCAAACAATGGGAAGCATGTCACCAGAATTCCATGAACACTGGCATTGTAAGGAGAATAGAGATTCTGCCCCTATTGGAAGCTAAAGCATAAGCTTTAAATAAGAGTTCTTGTATGGTGTACCTCCATCCATGAGGCTGCTGCTACATCAGAGAGATTCCCTGGCTTCCTGCTGGATTCACTGGGAAATGTTTAATGGATGCTGCCTTCTAGTCATGGTGGTTTGTATTCTTAAGTCATCAGTGTACTGTGTTCAGACTCCAGTTGTATTAAAAGGAGATCATTCTGCTAGCTGTGATAAAGAGAGAATATCTGTCTGGATCAAAGGAAAAAGACAGGGTGCAATCTAGAACAGCACAATCATGCAGCTCCATGCCAGGACTATCACCATGGGAATGAAAGCAGTTAGTAGCCAGGGAGAAATGAAAAAAAAAAATTGAAGAGTAGAAATATATTGATGGAACCCATTCCAGTCAGGGAACAAATAAAATTACTCAAAATAGCAGACTCAAGGAGAAAGATGGGGAGGAGAGGAAGAAGAGAAGGAAGAACATTATATTAGCAAGACAAGGGGTAAATGAACAAGATAAGGTAAGGGTAGCTGTGTGTGGGTTCTTAGCATGAACATTTCTTAGTGTAAATATAGCCAGTGCAGACAGAAGAGATGAGAGGAGTCACACAGTGCAGAGAGGAGATGGGAGGAGTCAGACAGTGCAGACAGAAGACAGAAGGGTGATGCAGATTTGAGAAGAGGTAAAAGTTCAGATGGGCTGCTGGGTGGTGTGAAAGCAAGGTTGTCATTGGATACAGGGAACAGTGATAGACTGTAGAGTCAAAGGATGAGGACTGGAAATGGTGAATAGAGAGGAGATGTACCCAGAGTAAGAGTGGGAGAGAAAGGATGGCGGAGGTTGTGTAGAGACTCATTTACCTAAGTAAACACAGACTTCTATAGGTGACACTGACAGATTAGTAGGGAGGGCTAACTGGCTTTAAAACACTCACTTTTAGGTCAGTGGGGAGGAGCAGGGCTCTGAGTTTTGCACCAGAAAGTACATAATTTCTATGTAAAACATGTTCCCCTGCCCCACTCTCCCTCAGCTCTACACCCTGCCCCAACAGGTCTGGAAAATCTGTAGAGTATGGGTTTTGGAAGATGTGCAGCATATATTAGAGAGGTCCTCAAGGAAGGGAATGGTATCTTTCCTCTAAAAGGAATGTGTGATTGTACCAAATGTTAATTAGAGCCAATCAGGGCCCCACAGGACCCATGGGAAATGATGATGAGTAGATTATTGGCTGAAGTGAGGCCAAGCCTGCATATTTAAGACGAGGGGCAGCTGTTAAGAAGGGCAGATGAAAGTCACACAAGGTCAACCTACCTACATTCTATTATTAATTCATACCGCTTGAGGTTTCCTCTGAACTTGACATCTTATTGAGGTGCCTTGCTTTCCTAAAAAGTCTTCTCATGGAACCCCAGAGTGTGGGTGTTGTTTTGGATTTATTTTTAATAGAAATTTAGGTGTCAAATTCATTTATTCTTTGGTCAGGCTGCATTCTGTGTAAAACTTTGTGACAGACACATCAGGTTAAGATAGATATAAATCTATATGGAAATATCTTGGACCCTGGCATGTTGTAGCAAGCAAACTTGTGTGTTTACAGTTCTAGGGGAGGGACCCAGGGCCTTGCACATGTGAGGCACATGTCTAGCATTGACCTGACTTCCTGGCTCATGCCCCAGTGCTCAGGACTGTGCTAACTGAAGATATTGGTCTGTGTATTCTAAAAACAGGTAAACCCAGAGCCAGATAAGCCAATAGAGGTGAGCTCCCCCAGACACACTCTTGTTTCTCTCTCAAATAATGACAATAGCTGCTCCCAGAGAGCTGGGATGCCATACCCAAGTGGGTGTGCTGTAGAGAAGTGAAGAGCGACTTCTAGGACCCCTCCTGTTACAGTGTGTTAATGACAGAAAGATAAAAAAAAAAAAAAAAAAAAAAAAAAAAAAAGTCATCTTGCTTTGGGGCATTGCTTGTAGCCACACTGTCCAAATGGTGGTTTCAGAATTTGTCTTTGGCCCTCCCTACAGGTTTGTAATTACCAGGCCAGCTAATGAGTGCCACCTGCTGCCTTCAGATCTCGTGTTTTGCGCCATCCCATTTAGCACCACCTGTTACAAAACAGAAAATGTTTCAACTCAAATTCTCGATGGCATTACAGATGTGATGTCAGGGTCCCCAGAGACACATCAGAGCATACAGCATCATCCCGAAGTCAGCACAGGGGTAGAGAACCCATCTCGACGCTCCAACTCCCGAGTCTATCCTTTGGAGCCATTTGCTACCAGTGATCAAGGAAGATAAGAACAGACGTGTGCTGTTTTGTGCCCATTGCTGAGTGGTTGATGAGTTGGAAAGCTCATGCTGCTGTGGAACAGACCATCTTATCCCACTGGATCTGGTGTGCTGAATAAAGATGCACATGACAAATGGCAATAAAGGAAAGTCCACTGCTGTCTTTCTCTTGAGCAAGACATGGGTTCCTTTGAGCTGAATTAAGAAGTCCTCCTCATGGAAAGATGGCTGATAGGAACCAGAGCTAACTTGTCTATGAATAAGACCTAGGTACATGCCATGGACAAGGCAGATGTTTATTAAAACAAGTATTAGGGAAATTCTGGCACCATGTTGAAGCAGGGAATCTGCAGAATTTATGCAGACATGAGTGAGAGGGATGGGTTCTTTTTAGAAGGACCACTCCTTGCTCCTGGGCTTTACAGCTGTTTCAAACCGCTAAGGCCAGGGAGAATATAAAAGGTCCTATCCATTTTGTGTTGGTCAACTATTCCTGAACATGGGGCCTGCCCTGCAGTCTGGTTAATATACCCAGCGAGACTCCATTGGTGCAAACTCGTTTTCCCTTTGTCACAGGGCATCACTTACAGATGCTTCTTCATTGGGGTTGAGAGCCCAAGTGCACTCCCCTCTCTTAGCACTGCATCTCCATAGAGCTTGAACCCGTGCAGGTCTTCCATATGCTGCCACAGTGTCTGTGAGCCCATGACAACTGGTCTTGTTGTAGCCGGAAGACACTTGGTTTGTTTTGGCATTTTTTGTCTTACTGAATTTTTTTTTTGGTTGTTTGTTCTGATTTTCATTTTTGAGTTTTGTTTTATTAAAAGAAAGAGGAATAAAATAAATTTGGCTGGGGAAGGAGGAAAGAAGTTCTAGGAGGAGTTAATGGAGGGGAAAGCATGATCAAAATATATTGTATGTAATAATAATAATAATAATAATAATAATAATAATAATAATAATAATAATAATAATAATAAAGTCTCACCCAGAACCTAGGCATACTCTTACCTCTGGGCCCTCCCATGCCCCCTTGATGTTTTTCTGCTCTAATGACATAAATTTTGTTTTTTTTTCTCTCTGTGGCTGGTGTTCTAAGTTCTGCCTCAGTCTATATTTCCTTCCTATGTCAGCTGTCCTCGGCTCTGTAACCATCCTTTTTGTCAGGGATGCTCATGATTTCTGCTCCTTGTACTTTGAGACAGCTGCAACTTTCCTGTCCCCCACCACAGATCTTGAGCCATCTCTCTGTCACCGGTCTTCTCTGTCACTTGACTTTCTATCTAAATGGATCTACTTTCCAGGATGTATAGTTCTTTGTCTGCCCCACAGAACAAACTCAGCAGTACCCCTAGGTGCCTGCCCATCATTTAAGTCCTATCAAGATTTCTACTGCTGTGATAGACAGCAGGACCAAAAGCAACTCAGGGAAGAACAGATTTACTTTGGCTTATAGATTATGTTCATCAAGGAGGGAAGTCAAGGCAGGAGAGACCTGGAGGCAGGAGCTGATGCAGAGGTCACAGAGGACTGCTGCTTACTGGCTTGCTCCCAAGTCTTGCTCACTAAGACTGCTTTCTTACACCTCTCAGGACCATCTGGTCAAGACTGACAGTGCTCATATTGGGCTGGATCTTTTCACATCAATCACTGAGCAAGAAACTGCCCCCACAGACCCACTGCAGGCCAGTCTGAAGGAGGCATCCTCTCAATTGAGGTCCCCTCTTCCCACATGACTCTAGCTTGTATCAAACTGACAAAACAAACAAGCAAACAAAAACTTAAGCAGGACACACTGCTTCTGTGTGAATCCCAGTAGCTTCAAATAGGCAATGTTTCAACCCCCTAAATCAGAAACCATGACACAAAGTTTAAAATGTTCCCCACGGACAGAACCCTTTGTTCCATCTCTTCCATTCCACTCCATGCCCACACTTTCCACATCTTTGTCTGAGGACTAGCTGGTGAGTATTCCCATCCCCCAACACTTTTTTCTATATCCTACTGGATCTAACCCAGCTCCCACAAACAGTCCCCTTGCACAGGCTGGCCACTAGCACCTTGCAGCAGGGGGCCTCTATCCTTTGTCAGAGTCCCACATCCCGTACTCCAGCTTAGCTCCATCACCACCTTCTGCAAGGTACCCAACATCTAGGCTTCCACCAGGACCTGCACTACCCACAGGACCTTTTGAGTCATCTCCTCCACCCCACTCCATATCCACCAGACATCCCATATCCTCCTCTTGTATCTAGCCCTGGAGCACCCCTGACCTCTTCATCCAGGTATTTTCTAAAATCTACCATATTTAGCCTGAGTACCACAACCAGTTCTCCAACCTGGTCTGGCCTCCCTTGCCTTCCCTTTAAGGGAGTTCTAGGGTGAGTGTCTTAGGGTTTCTAGTGCTGCAGAAAGGCACCGTGACCACAGAAACTCTTATAAAGGAAATTATTTAATTGGCTCACTCACAGTTTCAGAGGCTCAGTCCATTATCATCATGGTGGGAAGCAAGGCAGCACGCAGGTGCTAGACATGGTGCTAGGGAAGGAGCTGAGAGTTCTTACATCTTGATTCATAGACAACAGGAAGTGGTCTGTCACACTGGGCTGTATCTTGAGCATTGGAGATCTCAAAGGCTGCCCTCCCAGTGACACACATCCTCCAACAAAGGCACACCTACTTCAATGAGCCACACCCCCTAATAGTGCCATTCCCTTTGGGGACCATTTTCTTTCAAACCACTGACATAGGCCAGTATCATTCCTACCATGTGTCATCCCATAGGACTCTCCAATGTCATATCCAAGCTCTCCACATATATCTGCCCCCACACTCCTGGTTTAGAACAGGAAGCACATGCCAGGTACCACCAGAGTCCCCTCTGCCCACCCGATTTCATTCCACCCAAGCCATCTCTAGACCAAAATCACCCCCACATCCTCTCATCTCCCCTTCCCCGCTCCATTGATTACAAACTCAAAACTAACAACGGAATTTCACAGGCAAGATCTCATTGCAGAAATAACAGTATGAAAGCCAGAATATTCTTTCTAAAACATAACAATCATTCCTGTAGAAATGCTTGCCAATGTGAACTGACCTCCAGGATACAGAAATTAAAAGAACAATTATAAAAGTCTTCAAGTCAAAGAATTTAAAGAAGTCACAAAGAAACAGCTCAATGAAATAAGGAGAAAAAGCTAAAGGAAAATAAATGCCTAAGCGATGCCCAAGGAAACACAAACAGAAAGACTGATGAAAATGACAAAGACAATCCAGTACGTGAAAAAGCAATTCAATAAAGAGGTAGAAATACTGAAGACAACTCAAACCGAAATGAAGACAATTGAAAAACCCAATAGAAAACTCAAAGGAAAGCCTTACAAGTATAATGAATCAAGCAGAAATAGATATCAGGTCTCAAAAATAGAAGTGGAGATCTAGACCAAATAAGCAAGGAATATGGAAAAAAAATCACAAGTAAGAAACACACAGGATACATAGGACACACAGAAAGAAACAGAGAGCGAGGGAGACAGAGAGAAGAAAGAAAGGGAAGGAAGGAAGAGAGACAAGCCTTTGAATTTCAGGCATAGATAAGAGAGAAGAACCCCAAGTTAATGGCATAGACCAGCTCTTCAATATGATCATAGAAGAAAACTTCCCCAAGCCAAGGAAAGACACATCTGTTGTGGAATATTATTTTAAGATGTGTTACATTTGTTTATGCAATTGAACATTTGTTTAATGATACAAAGATATAGTGCATTCTTTTATGTTGCATTTGCTTAACTCTGTGACGCTGTGTTACTTTTCCTGTCTAAAATACCTGATTGGTCTAATAAAGAGCTTAATAGTCAATAGCAAGGCAAGAGAATGGATAGGCAGGGTTAGTAGGCAGAGACAATACATAGGAAAAATCTGGGAGAGGAGATGAAGGAGCAAGAAAAGAGGCCAGCCATCCAGCCACATGGTCAGATATGGAAAGAAAAGCTATACACACACCCATTCACATACAAGAAGTACACAAACTATGATAGCAAACATAGAATAATATACCCAGCAAAACTATCTCGCATGTTTGAAGGAGAAAGAAAAACTTTCTATGATATAAACAGCCTAAACAAATTATATCCAACAAACCAAACCTAAGGAAAAATCAGAAAGCATTATTTCTGGATGAAGAGAGGAGTTAACATAGTAAAGAGACCTTGGAAAGAAATAGGAAGCTTAATTATTAAAACACAAAGTACCACTGAGAATACAACACCAAAAATCCATAGCATGATGATCACAACTAATATTTCAATAGCCTCAATTCTCCAACCAAAGGACAGACTGACTGAATGGATCAAGAAACAAAACCAACCTATCTACTGCTTTCAAGACATCTTAGTTTTAAAGATCAGAGTAAAAGGATGGACAAAAATACTCCAATCAAGTGGATCCAAGAAGTAAGCAGATGTCTCTATCCTAATACCTGGCAAAATAAACTATAAAAACAATAAGAAGAGATAAATGGGGACACTTCATTCTAATCAAGGGGTCAGTTAACTAAGAAAACATAACTCTTTTTCAAATTAATTTTTTAAATTTTAATTTTAGATTTTTTTATGTATATGAGTGTTTTGCCTGCATACATGGATGTGCACCATGTATGTGCCTAGTGCCCTCTAAGGTCAGAAGAGGTTTAGAGATCCCATGGGACTGGAATACAGAGGTTTGTGATCCACTTTGTGGAAGCTGGGAACTAAATCCAGGACCTTTGTAAGAGCAACACGTACTTTTAAAAGCTACCTCTCCAGTCCCAGCATTGCTATTTTAAATAAATCTGCACCAAACTTGGGGCATCCAATTTCATAACAAATCTACTATTGAAATTAAAGACACAGATTAGCATCAATCCATTAGTAGTAGTGACTTCAGTACCCTACTTTCTTCAATAGGCAGGTCACCCAGACAACAAATAACGGAGAAACACCATAATTAATGGACACCATACATCTTAG